ATGTTCATTTCAGGTCATTCACATCCGTAACCACATAAAAGTTTAGGGATGAAAGTTTTAACTATATTTCAACGTTACGGTAAGCACATTTGTATGAGTTACTCCATAATTCAGTAGAAAACTGCACTACACTGGACAGAAAAGAAAAACATAAGCATCAAGTATGGTATCCAAAACATAGCATGTGCAGTCATTTAATGTGCAAGGGTCATGTATGCTATTTCATAGCATGTTTTACTAATTTTAAAGTGAAATCGATTCCCATGACCCGAAAATGGCATCCAATTGTTTTAAACGTACAACTGATATTTCTACCCACTTAATGTTCGTTTCGATTCATTCATGCCCTTAACCACGTGAAAGTTTAAAAATAAAATTTTTAACTATATTTTAATGTAGCGATCGACTCATTTGTACGAACTATAGCAAGTCACTCCATAATCTGGTAGGAAACTATGTTACACTTGACAATAAAGAAAAATGTAAGTTGCAAGTATAGCACATGTAATCGTTTAATGTGTACGAGTCATATATGATGTTTCAAAACATGTTTTACTGGTTTTGGAGTGAAATCAATATCCTGTGATCCAAAATGGCATATGGTTGTTTTAAATGTATGGCTGACGTTTCTACTCATTTGGTGTTCGTTTTGATTCGTTCTAGCCCGTAACCACGTGAAAGTTTAGGGATTATTTCGACTTTGTGATCAACATAGTTGTTCAAATTAAAGTGAGTCACTCCATAACTAGGTAAGAAATTACACTACACTTTACAATAAAGAAAAACGTAAGTAGCAATTATGGTATATTAATCATGGCATGTGTTGTCAATGTGTACGAGTCATATATGATGTTTCAAAGCGTGCTTCATTAGTTTCGGAGTGAAATCGATGCCCCGTGACTCAAAATGGCATCTGGTCATTTTAAACACGGGTAGCCATTCAAGGTTTAGATTTTAGGATGTAGGGTTCAGGTTTTAGGGTATAGGGTTTACAAAATAGAAAAACATGTAATTGTTCAATATATACAAGTCATGTATAATGTTTGAAACATATGTTACTATTTTTAAAGTGAAATTGAGACCCCTTGACCCAAAACGACATATTATCATTTTAGTGTAGGGGTGCCATTTAGCGAGTAGAGTAAGCAAAAATATAGCAAGTCATTGAGACCTTGTTACCCCAAACAACATGTAATCATTTTGCAAGTATGACTGTCGTTTAGGGTATGCAAAACATAGCACGTTCTAATACTTGTGTTGTAGTGAATTGAGTCCTCATGACCTAAAGTGGCATGTTGTCATTTTAAACGTCTAATTGCCATTTTTCAAATTGGATAAATTTACATAGTTAATAATACAACCTGTTTTTCCATCGCATAAATATACAAGCTATCGTAAAAACTGCAACTCCTTTCAGCTTTGACCGTTTCAATGTTTGAATAAAAATTCAGATAATAGAAAATGTAGTAAAATTTTATAGCAACATTGGTCAACATCCATATACATGTTCCATAATAAATCAACCTTAATCAATCATAAAAATCAATACTAACTGAACAAAATCAGCACTCATGCACATGTTTTGAAACTACGATCTCGCTATTCATACAGAAGAGTGACAGAATGACATGGCAATTTTGAAAAAAAAAAAAAGGAAATAAAATGAGGGGATTTCTTTCTGGTCCAAAGCCAACATTTTATTTTATCCCCAAATTGGATGAACCCTCCAGGCGACAAAAATTATCTTCTCTCCACCCCAACGTCATCCGTCTTCTCCAAATCCGTCAGACAATGAAACGGCCCCGACGGTATACATCTGATCTAGTTATTTGGGTTTTCATTTCGCAGCCAGTCAATCGGTCTCTTGTCATTGGCAACCGCGAGCACCATCTCTTGAAGCGGAATCTATAGCAAACCTGTTGGTGAGTATGATTAAGAAATGGTATGAAGCTAGAACCTTTGGTATCTAAGATTAGAAAATATTTGGTTCTTAAGTATTTATTTTATCAACAAAATTTTCGAAGTTAGTTTTGTCGAAGAGTACGAAATAGTTTCATATTTTTAACTTGGACTTGTAAAAAATTAATTTTAAACTTATTTACTTAAAAGTGAACTGATTTATATGGGTGTGTCAATTTCCTATTTTTTATACGAGATAAATTATTTTGAGTTTCTCAAGTGATGTGGGTAAAGTTTATTCATAAATTGATTAGGATTGAGTAGTGGTGAGTTCATTAGCCAACGTTATAAGAATCGGATTGAATGTTTGTGTTGACACATAAAAATTCATCACAAATCGAACGGCCCAAAAAATGAAGCCAAATTGGAGAATCCCCAAATCAGATAGCCCAAAGAACGAAACCCAATCAAACAATTCAAAATGAAGGCCCTAATAGGGAGGCCCAAGAACGTGGTAACGCCATCGCCCAAGATTGCAAGTCGCCCAGAATCTGAGCGAATGGAGTGTCATGCAGTCGCCCAGAGCTATTACTCTATTCTCGCCAAAACCTTCAAGTCGCCCAAAGTCTTAACAAACATAAAGCGTTGTGGTTATCAAGAAGTGCAGTTATCAAAGCAGTTAGTAAAGCGGTCCCATCACGTTTCACGATTCAAGGAATTCAATCGAAAACGGTTGAACGACGAAGAGTAATGGCAGCAGTTAAATAAGGCAGTTTTCATGACAAGCTGGCCATTATGAGGAAAGTGGGCAGTTGCAGAACGATCAAGCAGTTTTTAGGCGGTTGATCACAAAGAGATCGTCCATGAAGTATAAAAGGGAGGAAAGACATAGAGCAAAAGGACCGAATCAAAAACTCTCGAACAGATAACATGTAATTTTAATTTCCTTAGCTTAGACTTAAACACTTTTTTCAGTAACTCGTGTGCTTGCGCCCCTTGGAGGCACTTTGTTTTTAATTTCCAATTGTAAAGTCATCGCCAATAAAAGAACACCCCTTTTTGGGACTTTGTCTCAAGAGGTTTGTCCCTTACACATCGTCTAATCCCTTTTAATTGTTAGCGACTAACCTGCGCGAAACAGTTTGACAAGTAAAGTTGGAAATAGATTTGAGTAGTCAAGTTACAAGTTGACAATGACAGTGGTTAAGGATGTCCATGAGTGAAGGTCGGTTGTTGGTGGTTGTTTCTAGTATTAGTCATTTTTTTTGAAATTTGATAATTATTTGGAGTGATACAATTCAAGTGCCAATATGTACCTATTACGAAGTAGTTGTTAATTTCCATTTCACTTGCTCGAACATTATGTTATCAAAATTTTGCAAACATTCAATTGAATTATTTATTATGTCCTGTTGATATTCTGTCTACATGGTTGAATTGTAGCTTACTATGGCCGGAAAAAATCATGTAATATGTCATAGTTGTAGACGCAACGGTCACTTGTTTGCGGAGTGCCCAAATAAACGTCAACGCCCGTGATGTAAAAATGCATTTGTGAAGTGTTTTCAAGTGGAGAAGGATAGTAAGAACAAAGGTAAATTGTTTGATTGTTGTACTGCAAACTGCGGATATTGGGAGTGGGTTAAAGAGGGTAAAACGAGTGGTGAATCAAGTGCCGGTTGGCATTACCTCCACTAAACTTGTGGCGCCTGAATTAGTTCAAGATGTCTCTGGCATGTTCGAAACCATGTGTCGGCTAACTCATGAAAAAGATGTGGAGATTTCCATAAATGTGACAATACACAAAGGATAAGCGACTGTGGAAGGGGATAAGAAATGAACGTGACGGGTCTAATTTGTAGTTGTTGATGTAATAAAATTGTTCTTTAACTTAGGTGGAGACATCATTTCGATGCCAACTTTGTAGTTAACGTAGTGTAAAATTTGTGTACTGCTATTTAACTTATGTGGAGATTTCATTTTGATGCCTACTACGTGGTTAATGTAATGCGAAATCTATGTAGTAATGTTATGGAATTTTTGAATTGCGGAGCCTACAACTTGGACATTTTGAAGCCTACAACTATTTCATTGAAATGTGTGCAATTGTTTATTCTAGGTTCTGTGTGGATGCCTAGCAAGAGAAAGATGCAAAGAATGAATTTGGTGTCCTCTGGCGTGGAGTTAAAACTGCTGCAACATTATTGACACACTTGAAATCGAAAGCAAGAATCATGGCTGTTCCCCATATGCGAAATACTTAATTAAAATTCACTATCTTTACAATTAAGTTTCTGGTAATTGTCACAAATTTCCAGCATCTTTCCATTGAGAGGAAGTGGTCAAATTTTTCAATACAGGAATAACAAAACATAGCAACTAACTTCACAGTGGCATATGGAAGTTTACTAGCTGGAATTAAAGTTGCAGTAGAAAGTCATATGACATCATCATCATCCCAATCATCTTCCCATTGTCGAGTCACTTCCTTGCCTTCTTCTTTGTCGTCCAACTTCACATGAATAATTAACAAAACAATCAAAGAAACCTTGGTACCTGCAGGCAGCACTGAAACCTTACATTTCAGTCGGACCAAAAGCATGATAATTCCTAAAATAAAAGCTAACTCACGAAAAAGATTTGGAGATTTCCATAAATGTGACAATACACAAAGGATAAGCGACTGTTGAAGGGGATAAGAAATGAACGTGGCGGGTCTAATTTGTAGTTGTTGATGTAATAAAATTGTTCTTTAACTTAGGTGGAGACATCATTTCGATGCCAACTTTGTAGTTACCGTAGTGTAAAATTTGTGTACTGCTATTTAACTTATGTGGGGATTTCATTTTGATGCCTGCTACGTGGTTCATGTAATGTGAAATCTATGTAGTAATGTTATGGAATTTTTGAATTGCGGAGCCTACAACTTGGACATTTTGAAGCCTACAACTATTTCACTGAAATGTGTGCAATTGTTTATTCTAGATTCTGTGTGGATGCCTAGCAAGAGAAAGATGCAAAGAATGAATTTGGTGTCCTCTTGCGTGGAGTTAAAACTGCTGCAACATTATTGACACACTTGAAATCGAAAGCAAGAATCATGGCTGTTCCCCACATGCGAAATACTTAATTAAAATTCACTATCTTTACAATTAAGTTTCTGGTAATTGTCACAAATTTCCAGCATCTTTCCATTGAGAGGAAGTGGTCAAATTTTTGTTCCTGATTCTAAGAATTCAATACAGGAATAACAAAACATTGCAACTAACTTCACAGTGGCATATGGAAGTTTAGTAGCTGGAATTAAAGTTGCAGTAGAAAGTTATATGACATCATCATCATCCCAATCATCTTCCCATTGTCGAGTCACTTCCTTGCCTTCTTCTTTGTCGTCCCACTCTACCAACTTCACATGAATAATTAACAAAATAATCAAAGAAACCTTGGTACCTGCAGGCAGCACTGAAACCTTACATTTCAGTCGGACCAAAAGCATGATAATTCCTAAAATAAATGTAATTCTGGAGCTCAAAGAAAAAAGTAAACCATACATGTGGTAGGGATGAAGTAAAATCCACATTCCAACTACCAACCATTCGTCAAAACCAACACAACTTCACCTTCTATATCTATGTGTAACAATCACATGTTCGGGACATCTTGGTCCGATAAACAGGAAAAGTAGTATGGCGTGTTTTCAAATCCCGTACAATATGAACATATTATAGAAAAAACATAAATTCGTGAATGGGTAAAACTGTTTAGTCACATGTATTACCTTGACCATTGAACTCATTTTCGTTACTTGCATTCAGAGGATGAAACTGGAGGAATGTGTTGAGTAAATCCCATACTTCGGTTATCACCCTACATGAAATCACATGAGTTCGTAGACTATATATGTATCAAGTCAACTTAATGATCCACATTCCAAATACCAAACCATTCGTCAAAACCAACACAACTTCACCTTCTATATCTATGTGTAACAATCACATGTTCGGGACATCTTGGTCCGATAAACAGGAAAAGCAGTATGGTGTGTTTTCAAATCCCGTACAATATGAACATATTATAGAAAAAACATAAATTCGTGAATGGGTAAAACTGTTTAGTCACTTGTATTACCTTGACCATTGAACTCATTTTCGTTACTTGCATTCGGAGGATGAAACTGGAGGAATGTGGTTGAGTAAATCCCATACTTCGGTTATCACCCTACATGAAATCACATGAGTTCGTAGACTATATATGTATCAAGTCAACTTAATCATATACAAATGCTAACCATTAGTAGCTACGAAAAGGATAAAGGTACAGGCATTGAATGCTGTGCCTATTCGACTAATTTTACGACATATAAATCAACTTCCATATTAGTTGGACGTGCCTTTAGTCTCCTTCCTTTGTTTGAACTCGAACTTCCCTGTAATATCACCCAACTTATGACTTATGGGTACTAAAAAAAGAACATACGAGGTCGCAATAAATGCGAAACATGCCTTTGCTTTATTCTGTAGCAATTCCAATGGGCTCTTCTTATGGAGTTTCTTAGGCGCACCCTTCCTCTTCACACATTTTAGATCCTTTACACTACCGCTGCCAGTTTCTTGTGACGCTCTACACTGAGAGGCTGACTAGGTCATATGCAAGGACACGACATTACTCCCAGAACTTGATTTCGATGTCATTATCTCTTTACATTGATCTTCGATCCACTCCAGTAATGTTGTAGCTCTGACGACATCATCTGTGGCCAGGTCTGCCAACAATGCGAAAGAAGTACACAATTTTTCATACATCAACTGTCCAAGAGTACTAACCAATCCATCGTAGTTCATATCAACCCTCATGTGGACTCTACTCACATCTCTCCGCCATCTGCGTAGGTTATATTTGTCAGGTAATACTTTGACATCGTGACGAATTAACACTGTGATTGCATGCCCACATAGTATGCCTTGAAACTCAAGTAAGTGGCAACCACAAGTAATTTCACACTTTTCTGGCTGAAAAGAGACCAAGAAAGTCTTTTTCTTCGAACGTGACTCATAGATGACATCCTCTCGTACCTCGTCCCCAAACATCCCACAGAAGTACATACAAGGTCGCAATACATTTTTCTAGTGAACTCCTCCTGAACTTCTCTAAATTTAGAAATTGTGTAAATCGCTTGAAATTGCTTCTCCATTTCATACCGTGTTGCACATGGTATCATTTGTGAGTAAGACTTGAAATCTACTTGAAACTCCTTCTCGACTTTGCTTCTCAATGCTCTTTCGTATTTTTCCACGAATTACTTTAACGATGTCTTCGAATGTACATATCCATCGAAAAATGCATTCATACTCTCACTTCGTTGGGTTGTTGACATTCCTGCCCAAAATGTGGTTTTAAAATAGCAAGGAACCCAACATCTACTCTCGTATAGTCCCGTTAACCAATCATTATCATGCAACACATACATATCAATCATAGCCCTCCACCAATCTTCAAACTGTTCAATGAATTGAGAATCATAAACCAATTCGTGTATAGACTGAATTATAGAAACCTTGTCCACATTGTACCTAAACTTTTCTGGTAACTTCTTTAATATATGCCACAAACAACATCGATGTTTCGTATTTGGAAACACGATCTCAATTGCATTTTGCATGGCCCTGTCCTGATCTGTAATTATCCCATGGGGAGCTTGGCCATGCATGCATTATAGCCATGTCTTAAATAGCCATAAAAAGGTGTCTATATCCTCATTCGACACCAAATCACATCTAAGTAGTGTGAATTGTCCATAATGATTCACCCCAACAAAAGGGACAAAAGGCATGTCATACTTATTAGTTAGGTAAGTCGTATCGAACGTGACACCGTCCCCGAACTCCTTATATGCCTGTGTACTCCTATTATCTGCCCAAAAAATATTCTTCAACGTCGACTCGTCGTCCAAATCTATACTAAAGTAAAGCCCCGAGCAACTTACTTGCATTTTTGAAAAGTAAGATTGTATTGCTGCGACGTCTACTCCTCCAAGTCCTAAGCGCCGAACTTGTTCAACATAATGTTGACAATCTTTTTCCATGCAAGTCATATTATCATATCCACATGCTTCAACTACTACAGCATTGTAACTTTTGTGTAATGGAATTCTTGTAATATCGTTTACTTGAAGCCGCCGTTTAACTTGTGCACTTAACTCCCGATTGCATCGATACAACCTTGACTTGGTCGGACTTGTTTTATGATTGTGTTCAAGATTCACTGTGTTTCCGAGATTCACTGTGTTAATTCTCCAAATTCCATGATCGTTTGCTGATGCATCAGTCTGGCTAGACAACCTGTCTGAATGGTTGCTTGTGGCTTCAAAGTACCAATTTTAGTACTACTTCTTTTCCCTTCACGACTACACGTCAACGTAAGATATCTCATCACTCCATCATCGTCCTTTTTCGAATTTCATTTTGGAAAACCTATAGTGTACACATATCTTTTGTAAAAATCGAACAATTCAACATCGTCCTTGAACTTCATACCCACTTGAGGAACAACTACACCATCTCCGCCTAAGTTTTCATCACCCAATAAGTTCATATCATCCTTCAAATTCTCATTATCGGATTCTACCAATATAATGTCATCCACATTTCGCAAACATTCTTTCCCTGTGACAAAAAACCAACTACACTATAAAACCAAAATTAAAGAAACTGATTTCCGATACAAGATATTAAGTAAAAATGAAAATAGAAAATTCAAAATCGATTTACTAGGCCACCATTTCTACAACTAAAGATCTCAACTTAGACCCGATCCCAAATCCCACTTTGAAAAAAAAAAATTTCCTACCAAAGAAAACCCCCAATTTCAGGATACTGAAAATAGGCGGGATAATGAGGAGATTAAAATGACCTATAGCTTTAAAACTAAGAAAATAACATTATAAAACAAGGGAGGTGAACAGTTTAAGCAAAAGATGGGACTGGTTTCTTAACCCATTTCTTGCTGCATTTAACATAAAAGAGGGATTACACATTTTCTTGACAAGGATCCATTAACACATTACAATTTTTACTAATCCGAAACCACAAAACCAAACCTTTGTCTATCTCCATCTTCGAGTGAATGAGTTGGGTCAGGTGGAAATCAGATTTCAGAACTAACACCGACGTCAACTTATGAAGTATTGGTCAGTCCAAGTCTTTCTGGGGTTTGGACGTTGGCGCCATAGGATATGTGTCGGTAGACCGCGGTTGAATAATCTCCAAATTTGGGGGAAAACGTAGCTTAAAGAAATGGTGCCTCGGTTGGTTGGTCGACCGCAACTCAAAGAGCTCAAGATTTGAGCAAAAACGTAACTTACGGGTGGAGCCAAATTTGGGGGAAAATAAATGGCGCCTTGAAGAAAGAATGGTTTATAGTGAAGTTGGTGCTTCTCTGAAAATGAAAAGGGTCGTCCATTTTTTTAATATTTTCTGTCCATCACGTGTTGGTACTTTGATTTTTTATTTATTTATTTTTTTTTCCATTTTTAAAATAAGTCATTCTGTTAGGTAGAGTGTAAGCCAATAGTATACAAATAGCATTTTTGTTGAAACTAAATAATAAAAAGCACTACCATCTTGACAAAATTAGCATCTAATTTATACATCCTCTAACCACATAAAATTGAAAAATATACAAAGAAAACAATTATGGATCGAAATGTATAGTAAAAATTTCAGTAGCTAGTTTTCTTCCTCCAACATTCAATCATATCATCAGATATAAGTTTTACATTTAATTTGACCAATAAAGGTTCTATAAACATATGTAGTCCAATCCGATCAACGAAGTATCCATTGCTTGTCTTTGCTCATCATTCAATTGTATGATCAAAAGCCTTTCTCCCCCAAACATTATCTAACATCTTTTAAATATAGTCAAAGTTTTTTAAGGGAGCATATTTTTTATGGTCTACCTTTAATTCTATCTTCAGCGAGAATCACATACTCAAATGAGTGTTCCATTTCTACAATAAAAGTCACAAAACGATCATGTAATTAATCAACAAACAAATATGAAGAATTTACAATAATGTTAAATGATACTTAGTACAATTATTTTCAAAAATAAATTAAAGACTGGTGACATTCTCAAAATTACATAAATGGCAGGATACCATTTTCAGAACTAGATAAACTTCAAGGTGCCATACTAGAAAATTCAACAACTAACATATCAAATATCACAATCTCAACTAAGTAAATTCAATTTAAATCATGGAAAAATATGCAGAACACTAACATATGTTAGTTACAATAAAAAATCACGATCATTTATTACTCTACCATGTTCCATTTGATGCAAATTGTAAAATAGTACCAATATGCTAAGACTTCAATGATATCACAGAATATCCATTTCATTACACTAACATTACAACTAACATAACATTTAAATATTTTTAGCAAGCAGATACTTAAATATCTAATATTTTGTAGCAATTTCTATTAAATTGCCATCTTATCTTTCAATTATCAGCTCAACATTAATTAGATTCCAAAAGAGTCATATATTGCTAGGATTTTTATTTTTTAAAATCAAGAAGCAAAAAATCTCTCAAACAATAATAGAGCATCAGAAGAAAACAATTGTGGTATTTCATTTTTTGGGAAAAAACAATAGTTTCCTTGTTGCCACAATTTCATCACGTAATTTCTTCATAGGAACAAGTCTAGGTTTCGTGAAAATGAATAATCTTGTGCAGCCTCAAATAGGATTAAGTCCTATTGACAACAAAAAATAGACATAAATCAAAATCAAAATCACCTATGGTGCTATTTACCCCATGTTTGCTTATAAGCCCATATGTATCTATTCAATATCTCACACTCAGAATGCTCCACTACATATTTTTCCCAATTTGCTTATAAATCTACATCATGAATAATAAACAAAGAAATAACATTTTTTCAAATTTGCAGTTACAGGAAGAAAGTTGAATTGTTAAGTATTTTTCGTTTAATTCAAAGCAACAATGAAAAATATTAAGAGAAAATTAAGTTCCAAAACTTAATGACAACATACAAGAAATATGAATAAATTTAAAAATCTAAACAAGCCCACCCTATCGGTATAATTCTTGCTAGCACAAATTTCTCTAATTTTTTATTTTTTTTTTGGCATAAAATCGTATTAAAAATGAAAAATTGAGGAAATATTCATACGTGAGGATAGCCCACTATGAAATTGGTTTAGAAGTGGTTGTTGATGTATGGGTGCTTTTTTCGTGAGTTTCGATTCTATCAATTTTGGGAAAATGGATTAAACCTTCATACCAAATTCCTCATTTCGCTCTAGAAGACGAAGTAAACCGATTTTGAATGGTAGAAGGATTTAAAGATGAAGAAGCCACGAAGAAAAGATTTAGGGAGGTTTGGGGATTGTGAAGAGAGGAGAAATATAATAGATTTAGGATTCTAGAATTCTGTTGATTTGAAAAAAAGAGGGAATTAAGTTTTCTAGTGATATTGAATAAGAGTATATTATGTAGTTTGTAAATTATGATTTAGTCCTTGTTTGAGCCACATTCTTTAGAAAAAAAATTCATTTTTAAATAGTGATTTGATATTATTTTAACCTCACATTCTTCAATAAAAATTATTACACGAAAATTTAAAATCTTTCCATACTTTTTAACAACACATTTCACATTATAATACTATTCAAAACTGTATTTTCTTGACAAAAATGGGGCTCAAGCAAAATGTATTCTAGTCAAACGCTAAAATTCCAAAATGTGTTATGAAATAGAGTATTTGACCCAATGACCACTTCACCGATTCCTCAAAAAGGTGACCATTTAATCAATCACCAAAAACGGGGCCTGATCCAAGCACCTCCCAAGTCTCTCTTCTCTCTCACACACACACATACACGCACTACAAGAACAGATAGAGTTTGCTAATTAAAAACTGAACTTGGCTGTGAATTTGATCGACGATGCATTTGATTCTCTGAAATTATTGGATTTTCATTCTAATTTGAATTATGCTGATGTCAGCCCCAAATATCACACTGTCGATCGCTTCAACTCAGAACATCACAGATCCTTCGTTACCGAGTAAAATCCACACAATTTCCAAATGGTACGATATGGGAAGCGCGGGGTGCACCGGATTCTGGCGCGACGCAGCTCTTGTTGTGCCCTCGGTGTTATTTGTTCTGTACCTAGGGTTTCAAGCTAAGCGGAATCTCAAGAAGCTGAGCCACCGCAGGTCTTATGTCATGATTTCTTACTATGCGCTTATCTGGTTCACCGTTCTTCTGAACCTTGCTTGGTCATTTCTTCAGGTATTCTACGGATTTTTTGCGGAATTTTTAATCCCCTTCGATAATTATATGAATTTGTAAACTTATGATACTGTGTTATCATTTTCTCAAATTAAAGTTCCTTACTCTACGTTCAGCTGCTTTTGATTAGGAAATCGACTGATGTAAGAGCATTTTTGGGAATGTGTCGTTCTAAATTGATAATTTACGGAGTTTTAGCAGCCTATTTTTTTATTTTTATTTTTTTTTCCTTTTCAGTTCTCTGCTATTTTAGCTGCATTTTGATAAGTAATGATTTGGAGAGACTCGTTAACTCTTCCTGATGCATATTTATTTAAAATTTATGGACTGGTTTCATTTCTTCGTGACAGGCTAACTTCGGTAAAATTGTCATAGGATTCACTTTTACACTGAATTACATAATCATTTGGCTGAGTTTGATTGGTTTATGCAAATTAATTGTGATTCTTTGGACAGATTTTTTCTTTTGATACATAACAATGGTAAGTTATGAAATTTGACTAATGCCAGTTCTGTTTTGTTATGCTAACCTATCACATGTTTAGAAGTCTAAAGAAGTGATGTAATCAGTTTTCTGATAAAATCCGGTAAAAGATCTTAGACTAAACAGGGAGTGGAAGTTGAATGAGTTTTCTATTCCCAAGTGCTATGTTGCACATTTATAGAACATTATATCTATAGTTGACAGTTGACAATAATAATCAAAATAGAAAAGATACTGTAGAGCGACAGAGTTTATACTTGTTACTGTACTCAATGACATAGAATAAAACACTGAAAGTTACCCTGGATGGATGAGGATGATGAAACATGGTCAACTTTGTATGGTTAGAAGTCATTCGCTGTGAGTTTGAAACGAGGTTATAACTAGTGATGTTTATGTGGTCTTAAGACTTCTTTCAACATTAATTTGGAGCTTGCATCCTTTCAAATCCTCATTATTTAGCCTAGCATTACATAATCATGTGGTGTAGTAATTTTTCCGAAGAGAACTATACTTGGCTCTCCAAATGCATCACTTTTCACACATCTATTCTTGTGTTCCATCAAATTGTGCTTGCATTCTGATAGAAGAAGGTCCCGTTCCTAGAGATTCCAGAACATGGATAAAAATATTAGCATCGTTCGATGGCCAATGAAATGATTTTGAATTCCAAGGTTATCTAGATTTGGGTGACATTTGACTTTTTCTTTCCCCTGGAAAACAGGAATGGCAGTGTGCTCCAGGGAAGGAGATTGCATGGAACCTATTGTCATTATTCACGGAAAGTGGAATGCTATTTTTAGAAATTAGCTTAGTGGCCTTCTTGCTCCAGGATAGTTATGCAAGTGGATTGGAAGCTCTAGCACGTACTTTCATAGTTTCAGGTGTCTTTGTGGCTGTCGATATACTTCTCCAGGTAATATTTGTTTGCTTTCCGTAGCATAAATACACTACTCATTTGCATATGTTCTGCTAAACATCACATTAATTGAATTGCTAACTCTTTGTTAAACATATTTGATCATTGTTTTTTGTAATCCTGTCTCTTACATGACCCTTCAACTAATGTTTGCATGGATGAACAGCTCACACTGATGCGTGTATGATTCCATTAGATTATAATAATGATGCATTCATTCACTCTCGAATCGAAGCTCATGACTTGTGAGATTTTGTATGTTGCCGTTGTTTTCGGATGATGCTTTCCTTGTTACAATTTTTCATACTATCTGTCAATATGATAAAAATATTAAATGCAGTTAGCATTACCGTATAGCAACAAGAGTTAATCAGCTTGTTTCTACTTCAATTTCCACCTGATTCTTTCTTTCCAAATGTTTCAAAAGAGACGCAAAGGAGCACTACTTTTCACAAAATAAAACCTCAGATCATTATCACATGAGACCTTTTCCTTTCGCAGGTGATATTCATATTTGGATTTGGGGTTCCCCTATTTATTGATAATGAAGCTACACATCGGGGAAAATGGGGTGTATGGTTCACTCATACGCTAGTACTTGCAGCTGCCTATGGCTACATAGCATTCGTGCACTATTCAAAGTGGAGAGATAAGTTACCACGTGAGTTTAGTTTTTTCCCTAGTCGAGTCTCTTGTTTGCTTTCTCCTCACACTAACCCAACTCCCAACTTTGCTGGGCAAACTTGCAGCAAGACCGGCATTCTACAACTACGTAATCCTCATGTTTATAGTCAATGTAACGGCATTGTTTGCCAGTGGGCTTGCCGGAATTGGGGTCGGCTTTGGACTCTGGTACCATAATTTTCTTCCGAAACTATATACGACACCAGATTTGTTATCAACCCCAACTGATCTCAGACGATTGTCTTCCTCTATGCAGGTTGTACAATTTCATAGTGATAGCTCGTCACTCCCTTTATCTTCCGTTTCTATACATAATTTTTCTTGCTGACTTTTTCCAGGTAATTATTTTCTGTAGATAAATTGAGAGATTCTCACATTCCAGCTTTATAATTTAGTGTTTAACTTATGTGATGTCTCTATCGCAATATTTCAGGAGGAAGATTGGCTGTTGGATAATGCTTATTACTCGGAGATGAAGGATGCAGGCTTTCTCGACACTGACTGGGATTAGGCTATGAAAATAAGTTGTATGGGATTAAAATGTTCCAGCTAAACATGTAAATGAATTCCTTGTAAATTTCTGCAAAAGAATAGTTTGAGCAATCGAACTTGGATCACATGTGTACTATCATGACCAACTTAGAAGCTTTAAGAGGTCCTGAAGATATTTCTACGTGTCTAATACTGAGACAAATATAAATTGTTTTCATTTTGTCAATTCGAATTTCTTGAGCATTAGAGATGAGTTCCATTTAGGTCGATTCTATTCTCTATAGAACTGAACTAAATCGAACTGGATGACGTCCGCTCTTACCTCTTCCTTGCAACATTTCCTTCTTCCCATTGCATTTCATTTTCATTTTTATTTTTTTTAAAAATTCTCCCTCAATCCAATTCAGGTTGGATTCTATTTATTTATCCTTTTAAACATTTTGAGTATGAATCTGGTGGTGGTTAGTAGAGATTAAGTTATGGGGATAAAGTTAAGTACCATTGAATGCTAATTATCGGTCAATAATCTTTTATGCTTCTCCTGGTTATGCACAAATTATGGTTCAAGTGTAAAAGGAGTATTTAATATTTCTTTCTTTTATTTCCTCAATTGTTTTGATACATACTGATTTATTTATTTATTTATTATTTCCTTTCATGGAAGTCTTGTGTTCAAGTGGCATTTTGACTGTCCACCCACCTAATGCATTTGAATTGGCGCACCCATCTAATTGTCATTTCTTCAAAGGATTATATTTTACCAACTTATGGAAGAAAATCTCAAATGAACTATGCTCGTTATGTTGCTGAATAGCCCTTTAGACACAACAGTAAAATACAATGGATAAAATTTATAAAACAATTTATAATGGTATCTACGAAAAAATAGTAGTTACGCATGCATAATTTTAATTAATGATTGACTTTGACTCAATTTAAAAATTGTATCCAAACGTCTGTAAATATTAGATAATCAACCTTTACAGAACAAGTTAATAATAGCGAGGTGGAAATGAGTCAACAAAACACCATAGAACACAATGTCATTCATGCTATATATTACATAACCTTTTGGCCACTGATATTATCAGCTGTGCACCTTCACGGGAATCAACAATTACTCAAAATCCTAATGCTTACTGCCGAGACTGAGCAAGTTCTTCAATGGATATTCACGTTCAAATCCGAGATAACAATCTGAAACCAGAATCAGCTTCATACCCTGAAAAGCGATACTCTCACATTGTAAGCAGAAAAGTAAAACACTTGAAACAAATAACAGAATCGCACTTGATTAGGAGATGGAATCGGAGAATCACCAAGGAGGTTTGAATAGGAGGATCACAAATTTAAAACACTGATAGTAGAGAAATGTTTACATGCATAGATATGAAGCAAGCTAGCTGACCAAAGAGTATAAGTTCTACTTTCAGTGAAAATGCTCATTCATTGGTCTTAAATGGGGGTGAAAAATAATGGAGTCAACGTAAAAGAAGATGATATATTGTCTTAAACCACCTCATCTAGCAGCTTAAGCTATTAAAGAGTAAGAATATATTTATTTTATTTCGTCCTCAACGTGCTCCCTTCATGTGCGGGTAAAAACCTAACATGTGCACAATTTAAATAAATGGACGGCAGAGAAACTTGAACTCAAGATCCAATAATATGCTGAACTACCAAGTCAAAAAGCTTGAGCTATTAGAAATTGGACCCATTTATTAATTTTTATTTTGTCGAGAACATACTGGTTCTGTTTATACTTCTGTCCATCGAGAAAAAGGCTAAGGCAAAACATACACGATCACTTTGAAGAATGAGATGCTGACCTGAAAGTTGTTTACAGTTGATGGTATATCCATGTGCGTCTGCAAAATATCAGGGAAAGAAACTCTCTTCAAAGAATATAGTTCAGCAGTAGAGGTGTTTCCGAGGATCAACCACCAAGCTTCGTCTTTTACCTGTAAACGACAATGTCAGCTTTCTTTCGTGCTAAAGAAAAAATTAGCAAAATATTAGACATTTAACCTTCGAGAAACGCGGAACAAAAGCTCTCAATGTTCTCCTGGTACCGTTTTTCTTTTCCAATCTAATGTTCAGACTCATACACTGTTCATCACCAGCATTTCGTCTCTGGAGCTTCAACTGAGCTTGAATACGAGGAAAATGCAGCAGATCCTGTGAATCAGAAAAAAGTAAAGTAAAAATATCAGATATATGAAGGACAGCTAGAGTGGAAATACGAACAAGTAGACAGCTTCATGACAATGGGTCCCTCTGTATCTAAAATTTTTTCAGGAATGGAACCTACTAGATCCATCATTCAAGAATCAAGATAAAATATTTAGTAAGAATTTCTTAATTCCTCGTTTCAAGATCATGTCATTGATACAATCCTGGAAAGAATCATCCAAGTCCAGATACGTGGGTAGAATAGATCCTATAGTTTTCTATTTGCAGTAATATAAACAATAACAAGCTTGTAAAGGAAAAGGAAACATAAGACTAAATGGGGAGCTAAAGGATACAAAGGCAGATAAAGGAAGCAAATAAATTATTTCATTAATCAAGCAATTAACTATTACTATTCCAATTTGAATAAAGTACGTCTCTCTAAGCACCGTTAAGGTATCGTTTAGCTTTCCAATTTCATACACCATGAAACAGAAAATTAGCAGAGTGTTTTTTCCAGAGAGCTACAAAAGATGCATAATTATATCCCTGCTGGAAGACAGTTACAATACAAAGACTAAAAATCATGGACAAAATTGATTAAAGCAGAAACCCGCACCTCATATAATCTGGAAGAAACAGAACTTCTAGTGACATCCTGCAAAGATGTCAGGGGAAGATCCAACAATTGCAAGACATTTGAGATTCCTTTCTGATTCAATGAAGAAATGAGATCATCTGTCATGCAGGGCAACATCCGTAGGGGAGAATCTCTGCCATACCATAAACCCTGCAAATAAAATAAAGAGAATTTATCCCAGAGAAAATATGTACACAGGTAAGAAGGACAATTCAACTAGTTTTCAAGCTAAAATTTTAGACCTAGTAGCTCGAATCTGCATATCACAGTGTATAATGTCTATCCTATGCAAGGAATGTTTGAAGCTATTAAGAGGATTACCTGCATCACCATTTGCAATAAACGCATACAAGTGATGCTACTAGAGAGCCATCCGCTGTTGGCGCATACATCTATCATGGCCTGGATAATACGGATACTTTGATCCAATACTGATTTCAGATCGGTGACATAGTCAGTGATTGGTAGCTCAACTTGGGAAAAATGTGCCTGTATTCCCATGCAAACAAATGCTTAGAAAGAACGTAATATTAAAACTAAGAAGAAACCAAACTGCATATTATATTAAGTAAAAAATCCTCATCTATCTGCAAACCATATCCCTAACACAGCAATGAAATTTTCCTTCTTCATTTTGGATGGGGTGCAGGGTAGACAAGGACGGCACCCACCTGAAAAAGAAGATTTGCTTTCACGTGTGGATCATCAAGAAGATTCTTGTCCACCAGAAGGGGAACCTTGTTGGACAAGTCAGCATTGTAATTTTCCTACAGACCAAACAAAAGCCAATATTAATATATTGAAATTAGCTTCTGACAGCTTTGTAAGTATGCAAGAGGAATAAATGATTATATCTAGTAAGGAAAATAATATTCATGAAGTAGCCTCCTAATAGGCTTTGTTTTGTCACTAAAGTTTAAAAAGTTCGTCTGCTCACTATATTGAATGAAATATATTCGCTGATAATAAAGGGATAATATTCATATTTCATGGGTGGTTAATTTTACAAATCACTGATATTTCTATTCATAAGAGAAATGTTACTAGTATTTTGGTACAATATTGATGAGACAACCTCAGCTTTGTCATGGAGCAACCAAAAGTTCAATTTTGAATCAAGAGTTATTTGTCCAATTTCATGAATTAGGCAAATCATGAATTAGGCAATGCTTTGTAATTTCACACAAATGCATTTATCGAGTCAAACAACAAGAAACAATGGGCTAACACATTCAGGCATGAGATCAGCACAGTAATCTCACAAATATCAAACCAAGGGACTGGAATAGATAAAGCATACAAATTCATCGCTGTGGATGATTAATAAAGTATTAACCATAAACTTCAATGTAAAGTTCATTACTATGGAAGATTAAATTAGGACTTACTTCATTATGCCGTACAGGAAGCTCATCATATTCAGAAGCACCAGACAATATGTGGAGGAAAACCTATGGCAAGAATACAATAATACAGCAATAACCAATAAATATTTATCACTCGCTTTGGAAAAAGAATTAACAGCGAGAAATGAAGGTAAATCAATTTTCTGTGGAACTTCACTAACTTCAAGTGATGTATCTGCTCCTATATTTGATCCAAACATTGATACAGTTGTGTACTTCAGATAATATTGAGCTGCTGTTGAACCCAACATCGTGGGCTCGACCCTGTCTTCATTAATCTTGATGCAACCACTGTCTTCCAGATCCTCGAATGTGCTTAGCACTAAGCTGTTAAAAAATATATTTTAGGAGATGCGATTGTAAACATAAAAGAATAATGTACTCCAACCAGAGCTCTTCCAAATTACAGTGACGCTACCTTGACAAGTAAGAACTTAGAGTTCCAGGATCTTTGTCCTCTAACCCATAATAAGATGGATTAACCATCTGTAAGATGAAGAATCAACAGCATTAGCCAACAGGAAAAGAGGGTTACGCTACAGAAAGCATTCAATCACATTCATCATATTGCAGATATCCCACGATAATCAAGATCTCCTCCCACCCCCAACCCCAAAAAAAAAAAAAAAAAAAAAAAAATTGGGCCAAAGGACATTTCCATGGCCGGACTCTGTTATGGACATTTCCATAGGTCTTCAATCTTGCGGATAAGGCACATCTTGTCCAGGTAAAATTTTCCATTTTTGTTTTTGATGTTCTTTTTGATATTTTTGCATCATTACATCTTCTAGAAACAATGCACCACACAAAGATGATGCAAAGCCATGCAATTAATGGCTAAAGGTGATTTCTATTTGTACAGTACAAGACATCAAATTTAGCATATGCTAAACCTACGTCCAGTTTTTTTTCAACTATTTCATAATAACCAGACCAGAAATGTACCAATCTGCGGAACAGATATGTCCAGGTGAGATAATATATTGCATCTTCTTTATGACAAATTGTTCCAGAAACTATCTCAGCATTGATATGATCATGCAACTGCTCTCTTAGGCTACTTTCAACTGGAAATGGCTCATAGAGAAACTGTAAAAGAAGAAAATAATTTATTGCATTTAATACATAACAGAAGCCATAAAATAATTTCACATAATCATAATATTTCCAGACCTTTTTATAGAAGCTCTTTTTTGGTTCATGAACGAGAATAACAGCTTTACCATGTTGATCATATTGTGGTCGCCCTGCTCGGCCCATCATTTGCAAAATATCTGTGATTGGAAAATCAACATACCTCTTTGCTTTTCCATCATAATATTCTGTTCCCTGAATAAAAATATATAGAAAAAAAAAAGGCAGCAGGATTACTAGCATGAGCAACAAAAAAATGCTGGTCAACTTCATTTACTTGATAAAAGTCATGTAAAAAGTATATCATAATTCCAGTGACCCATAGAGAATACTTGCCTGCTCATCTTTACTTTTTACAGCCACTGCCACAAATTACCCCTTTGATCACAATTTCTTACTCCAGATTTTTAGAGATTTTATTCGAGTACATTTTTGTCTTAGTAGGCGATCAAACTTGTGGACAAGTGTAAAGTAGGCAAGTGCAATATGAGAAACAACAGAAGTTGTACAGCATTCGAACAATTTAAATTTCACTCCTCCAAGATTTGGCAAAGAATAGTATAACAATACAGTTTGTAAGATTTTTCCTATTCTAGGGCTTAATAGCTGCTTATGACTAGTTAGAGACTATTTCAGGAAGTCTTCAATTTAGTCAAAATCTGAAAATAGGCTATCAAGCTTTGGTAGAATTGATCTAGGAAATTGTGTTTGTTCCTTTTATTGGATTATCTTTCTGTATAAAAAAGTAGGCTCTATTGTGAATAATATATAAAATCGGATTCTAAACCATCCAATCCTCCACATAAAACTCAGCAAACTACTCCAGCCTCCAAAAAGTTAATGATAATCTAGATAACCCTAATCTTCAAATCACCCTAGAAGAGATCAATGGCGTCGATTTTCTAAATGGATGTCAAAGTATTCAATAAAAGTTGAGACAAGATGGGGCATTTGGGAGGAACAATTAAGGAGCAAAACCTACTGATCCTATTTACAACAACGGGAGCCCTTGAAACTTTAAGGTCATGTCCTGACTAATGAATTTGATGAAGCCAGAATTAGGAAAACCATACCTGTTTCTCTCAAGTTCAATGGAGGTTTGGGATGATGTTAACCTGAGCACTCTAAGAAAGCAGACTGAAGACTAAAATTTATTCTACAAAAAATGGAATATCAGGATGTTACTCCTCTTCGTGGTGCACATTCTATGATTTCTGCTGAAGAATCTAGGTTGGAGTTGATGATTAGAGTTAAAAATCCAAATGGCCATTGAACTTTGCACAATGTTTTCCATTGGCCATTAATATTAAAAAAATTCAGAATGTCACTGAACTTATCGAATCGTTATTCTATTGGCCATTAAACTTTAGAGGTTATTCGGATGATAACCAGACTTATCAAGTCGTTATCCCATTGGTCTTTAAACTTTAAAAGTTTTTTTGATGGTCACCAAACTTATCAAATCATTATGTCATTCATCACTCAATAACTCACCATTAAAAAATTCGACGGACTCATTGACTTGAGGAAACAGAAACATTAACACGGCACATTATTATTGTTAGTTATTAATTACTCTACAAATGAAAATTCAACACACATTCAAACAATAGGTTTTGCTAATTACTCTACCAAAAGAGGCTTAAACACGAAGAAATTATCTGAATTTTGTGCACAAATCATTGTCTGATTATTGTCACAGAAATAGATTTTTATCTGTAAAGAAAAATATAATACACAATATTTACTAACCACAAAATATGCTATATGATATAACATATGCCAAATTAAGTTCATTTCATTTGTATACAACAAGTACTTGAGCTTTTATCCGTACAAACACAATTTATAAGTTGACATGTCCTTGATGTAACAACATTCTTATCTTTATAAGATTTATATTGTCAGTGTCCATAACGACCCTAATTACAATAGAGGAAAGACAGAAAAGGGCTATAATAGTGATATAAATTTGTTTTTCAGTCATCTGAACAGTGATGTAGAAGAAGTACACTGCATACTGACCTTTATAATAACTAAATGAGCTGGAAGATTTACACCCCAAGCTAATGTACTCGTGCAAACTAATACCTGAAAGGACATAGAGATGAGATGTCCTCATCAATATAATAAATTTGGACTGTTACATCCCATTCACCCAGTGAAGGAAGTGTTGATGACAAAAAACTACCTGAATCTTGTTATTTGCAAAAAGTTCCTCTACAAGAGATCTGTCCTTATCATTCAACCCTGCATGATGTAACCCAATACCAAACTGCAAAGTGTGCCTAAGGTTCTGGTCAGTGACCTGAGAAAGTATCATCTGAAGTGCTTCTTCTGGCATACCCAAAAAATGTCTTGGGCATTCATCTGAAGCTGCAAACTTCAATCACATAAAAGCACAATAAAATCGAGTTGCCAGCTAAGAAATTTTGTGTTTTCACAACAATATAAAACCTCACCTGAATGAGGTCCAGGGCAGTAAGCCTAGTCTGGCGGCGAGAAGAAACAAATATAAGAACTGGTTTTGTGGGTGAATGAGTAGATATAGCAGCATAGGTGGGCTTATTCATGCTATTCATCCTTGGGCAGTAAAACTTCCCAGGATATCCCTGTTGAAAGTAATGAAATATTTTGAGTATCACTAAGGCATATCCAGTTACCATAAATCCACACACAGAATACTAAAAAAACAAAAGATAAATATAGTCCAAGAAAAGGTGCAGAAAGTACAATAAAGAATACTAATGTCATTCAGTGAATATAAGTCACACAAGTGTAAATGCATCTGTAAAAGGAGGGAAAAATAAGTCACACAAGGAAAACACAATTTTCCTGTTCACTTTTCTTTTCCTGTTTGTTGAACAACTCGTTCTAAAAGCTTAAATGATCAGATAGAGAAGCATATAAATCATTTAAACATTGTCTTCAACATGCCCCCTCAAGTGTAGGAGGGAAATCCCTATCAAGACTTTACATGTGCACAATGCCATTTAAATTGGTGGAAGTGAGACTTGAACTCAAGACTTTGTCGAACCACTTGGTCTAAAAGCTAAATGTATATCATCGAAACACTCATTAACACTATTTTTCTTTTCAATTTTTAAATTCTGGATGTACAAACCACAAATCTTGTCAATCTAGATTAAAGACTTCCTAGTTAACTTATCAATGCCCTCGGTCGGTAAGATTGTGACAACCAAATAACATATTCTCAGGTCTCTACTCATGGAGTGCCCCAAAAATTTTATAGAATAAATTTTATTTATATGTTATATTCTTGAAAAGTTGGGGGCTAAAATGAAATAGGGTTTAAACTCCTATTTTATTTAGGCCAAATAATTAGCTATTGATGGAACATGATTTAGTATATTAATATTGGACTCATTTTGTAGGTTGTAATTAATTAGAAGTCCTCGATTTGAGAAAAAGTTAATTTGGCTATGTTAAGCCTAAGATATTGACGTTCAAAGAAATTGTTATCCAATAGTATTTTATTAAATTGGAGACCGTCACATGTGCTTTGGATGGGTACCATCAAAATTCTTATATAACTCGAAAATAGATACAATCCCAACATCATTAGGTAGGTACTAGGAAATTAATTAGTTGGTTGTTGGAATGACATGTAGAAAGTCAAATACTAGCCCACTTTCAATAGAAAACTCAATTTGATTTAGTTAACTATTGACTTTAAAATGGTGGTCAGCCACGTGCGTATCTTGGATAGATATAAGCAAACCTTTTTAGTTTACTAGGATAAATATTTCTTTATGTTTATGTTTAATAAGAATAACAGTATCTTACTTCCAATAGGTAGCATGCACTATAAATACACTATAACGTCAATAGAAATTTCACGACATAATAGAGAGAGGGAGACAATCAGAGAGATAGAGAGAAATCGGTTTAACTATAATAGAATATATATACAACCACGGCAGAAAAAAGCTTCCACGTCAAGAAACTACCAAAGGAAAAAGTTCATTTGACCTATCAACGTAAGATATTTTTGTGCAAGTGGTTTGTTTCAGTATACTTTTATATTCAATAATTTATGCGTGAATTGTCAGTGGACCTTTGGATTTAACCTAACGAAATGCGAACTCTATTGGCTTCTTATAACGAAATGTGAAATCCTTCGAGAATTCAAAGTATTTTGATTGGTTTGTCGCTCGATCATTAATATACTCCAAAAGAAATATGGTATGAAGTGTTTAATTAATTGTTATATAATTGTCTATGAAAATTGCACATATCTTACAGGGTATTTTTAAATACTCGCTCTTATAATAATTTTACAAGTTCGTTCAAGTCGATTGGATTTGGGGCAGGATGGTGATGCGGGGCTGCCAAGTTGATCAAAGAAAAAGAAGAATTATACCTTAAGTTTTTATGTCTTTAAATTCTTAGTTACTTTAAACTTATTCAAAGACATGTTATTAAAGAAATTAGTTGAACATGTTTATTTTTTTGATACAATTTCCATTTGTTTAGTTTAAGTTTGTGGATATTTCAATTATTTTTTTTAAGAAACTTATTTTTATCTTTCTGAAAATATTTCGAAGAAAATTTAGTTTTTGGTAACACTTCAAGATTTATGAAAATTTGGAGAGTTACAGCTCATACGTAGATAAGATGAATTAGAACCTGATACTTTTGACTTCAACAGTACTTTATACAACAAAATGGATCTTCCTCCTTTACTCTTTTCTTGTTAGACACCAAGTATTTACACACCTCTCTCTCCCCCCAGGCCACCTTGCCCCTATCACCTCCCTCGTTACTCCCACAAGACACCAGGACCCAACTTTCTTAACCATATCCTCCTCCCTTCTGCCAACTTTTGCAACACCACCAGCCTTGTATCCCAACCTCTACATTAGGTTTAAGGTGATTGTAGGAGAGTTTTCTGATTTAAAGGTGATTGTGGCAAGATGTGATGGTTGGTGGTGGTGGTGGCAGTTGGTCTTTTATCTTCTTTTTTCCCCCTAAAAATTGGCTAATAATATGGAGAAACAAATTGGAGGGCTAGTTGGGAAATAAGTTTTACCTTTTTAATCTCTTCATCCTCGAGAAATCAACCACAAGAAATAATTGATGAAAATTCCCTAAATAAAGAACCTTCGGTTATTTGTTCCTAAGATATCATTACAATCTTATAGTGGCAATAAACAAAGAGAGGCTGATACAAGAACATCATATAAGTAACTGAAATGACAAAAATATTTATAATGAAGTAGGATGTCATTAGAAGACAGCCAGAATTTTTACAAAGCAAATTTGAGGAAGTAACATCTCTTACCTGGATATGGACTTCTAGAGGGACAGGCCTAACACTGGGCTTGAAATTAAATAGACCATTTTCTTCAACACCCAGCCAATCAGCCAAATCACTGAATCAATAAGAAGTAAGATTCATTGTGCTAATGAACAACACGAGAAGTCTTTCATAAAACCTCGAGTTTTAACATGGCATATATAGTTCAATAAATATCTAGATGAAAGCAAAATACAAAATTCTCTTTAATGGCTGAAACATTAGACACATAAATATATCAGGCAGTAATTTATGAGAACAGAGGTTAACCATTCGACATACTTTGTCTCGAATAAAAAACCCTTATTGACCAAATATTTTCTTGGTAAGGCTTCTGACAGCAATTTATATTTTCACCCATGAAAGATTTCAATTTCTCCCATTAGTTCCCCCAAACTTTCAACTCCATACAACCAAAACGGATCCTGATGTCAGCATTAGAGGATAGTCATGACCCCTCACAAAATATATCAGGCAGTAAATTCACGAGAACAACTGAGGTTAAACATTCGACATACTTTGTCTCGAATTAAAAGACCTTTTTGACCAAATATTTTCTTCGTAAGGCTTCTGACAGCAATTTATATTTTTACCCATGAAAGATTTCAATTTCTTCCACTAGTTCCCCCAAACTTTCAATTCCATACATCCAAGAAGGATCGTGATGTCAGCATTAGTGGATAGTCATGACTCCTCACAAAATCCAGTCAGTAAACACCACCACCTAAATTCATAGTCTTGCATGAGAACCATAGCACCAAAAAGGTTTCCCAGACACCTGCCATCACAGCGATCAACCAGAAAACAAGAAAATATCCTGAAAATAAAAAGCTACAGGCACCACTGCCAATGCCACAGACTTGCATCCAAAATCCACCAAATCACCAGCATCATTTAACCACCCACACCACCAAATATACTACAATTTAAGGAGCAGTCATAAGTTCCAAAAAAGGAAACGGAAAAATTAAAAAGGGAAAAGAAGCTCAGTAAAATGCCTTCATAACTCACCAGCCTATCCCCACACCCCCTATCAACCCCGTTATCCAAATTTCAAACAAAATATCATGAACCAAAGAGAAAATAGGAAGAATCCACCAACCATCCAATACACAGACCACTACCCCGACCCAAAAATACCGCCAATTAACTTCACCTCGCGTGAAAGCTTCTGTGGTGTTTTCACTACCACCATGACCTGAAGACAAATGATACAATGACAAGCACTAAAATAAGAGATAAGTTTCGTCCACAGCCACTAGCAAATATTGAACCACAAACCACCACGGAACGTCTAAACCACAATAGAACACATGAATCCCAGGCACAGCAAGTAACCAATTTTCCTAATTGTGCTTCAATGACTGGGCTCTTAGGGGATGGAGAACTTGGTGTGGTATGTTGGTACGCAGAGAAAAAGGAGAGAGAATTAAGAGATAATCTAAGGGTGGGTTAACCGATAGAATCAGGGGCTAGTGATGTATTATAGGTTCCGCTAGGCCATGGCTGTCAGTGCCTATGTGACGATGCTCCTGGAGGTTGGATCAGTTAAGAAAATGTTATTGTAGTTATAGTGCTGATTTTGGTCGGCAAGGGCAGTGTCACAGTGATATTGATGGCATTGACATTGATGGGGATAAAGTATGCTAGTTCATACAATAGAAAAAGAAGTGCTTTAAATGAAAACAAATCAAAAGAACAGATAATCTACATACTTAAAACTGAAATATGCATAACTTACTGTGCATTTGCCAATGCTGTAGAAAGGCCAACAAACCTAATTGATCGCTCTGTCTGTGAGGATATATATCTCATTCTGGAGACAATCACCTGATAAGAAAAAATATTGACAGAATTGCTATAGTTAAAAAAATTTTGCACACTCTAAAAGTGGATTAAAATGTTAAATTTTTGGATAAAATTGCTATTCAGTTTATCTTTATAAAAAGATTCCTTGTAGCATGTTTCAATATATCAAAGTAGGTTTGATCCGACTTAGGTTAATCTTGTCATCGTTTTTCTCTCTCCAGCGAAGGTGTCTTTGTTCTGCTCATCCAGCCAATTGATTTAGATGCCTTCTTGTTCTTCCATATCCTTTAGTTTTCTCTTTTATTTTAACAACAGGCCTTTGTTTTTTATGGATCTGATTTTGATGCATGGTTGCCCACTTGAGAATTGTGATTTGTTACTGTATTTTGAATTGTGCGGCATACTTGGACAGACTCCATTCCCTAACTAAGGCCAAAACCCCTTGTGTTTATTATTTGGGTCAAAAAATCATGTGGGTTTTCTGCCACTTTTTTTGGAGCTATAGACTTCTGATGCATGAGAAGTGGGTTTTTCTGAGGATATTGTGAAAAGTGAGACTCCATTCCCTAAATAAGGCCAAAACTCCTTATGTTTATTATTTGCGTTAAAAAATCAAGGGGGTTTTCTACCACTTATTTTGGAGTTATAGACTTCTGATGCATGAGAAGTGGGTTTTTCTGAGGATATTTTGAAACGTTCCAGAAAACAATGAAGATTGATTAATTGCTGATCCCGTTTGAGGTCCTAATGCAGAGGTTTTAACGTTTAATCTCATTTTGTTGAGGACAAACAAAATTCGAAAAATCTTTTGCATGTGAAGGAAACTCCTAAAAATCATAGTTTGGTGGAGGTTAGTGACTAGTGAGGTGCTTTCCCTCTGGTGTTTTAATCTATGGTTCTCCTTTACAGTGTCAAGGGGTTTTATTTGCTTCAGGTCATGAACAGGCCCTGGCTTTGAATTGCTTTCCCTTTGCAGTACCTTCTGGTAGTTGGTGGTAAATTTCTAACGATTATTATGCAAATTTGGGTGTTATGATTGCTAAAAAATGGTTTAAATACTGGGAATTGATGCAATATTCTGTGTAATTAGATTATATTTTGAGCATTGTGCTTATCAGATTCTTGGTGGAAGTGGTTGGAGATTGTTTTATTTTTTCAGTTTTCAGTAATTGGTAATGGTTCTTTCTATGTTTATTTTATAAATGTTGTTCTTGCCATACCTCGTTCCCTGCTTCTTCAGAAGGTAATATTGGTGAGCAGTGATTTTCTTTTGTTGCTTGTATGCCTTAGTTGAGTTGCTTTGGTTTGGAAAGATGGTCCTTAGGGATGGAGATTCCCCTTTTTTTTCTTTTTTCCTTGAAATGGATTGATTTTGAAGTCAAATTTTGATGAAAGGAAGATTTTGACTAGTGGGTTACTCTCGAAGTCGAGATTTGGATATTGTTGAGGTTTCTAAATTTGTTCAGAATTTGAATTGAGGTAATATGAAAATTGGAATTGGGCGCTTGGTTTCAGTGATTTTGTTTTGGGTTAGTTTTGCATCCATTTGTTCTGGAATTTGACAGGTCTTATTTCCAGGTAATGAGGAATATGTTATTTGATATCAGGTCCAATTAACCCGGAATTTGGTATTTGGTTTGGCTAATCTGGAATTTGGCATTTTGTCCAGCTAATCCTGGAATTTGGTATTTGGTCCAGTTAATCTGGCATTTGCATTAGTCTGTTTTGGCTCTTTGGATGGTTCCGAAGGTTGCTTTGCTAAAATGGGTGGACGTGGAATTAGATTGGAGGTTGAAGACAATCTGTGTCCAACGTTGTAGGGGGTCGTATAGGTGGGCTAGCAAGCTACAGAAATTTAAGTCAAATGTTTTTAATAGGCATTTAATACTTGAAAGTTTTTGTTCAAGGGCAATTCTGGACAAATGTCAAAACAGCATAACTTTCTGGCAGTTTTATATTTTGATTTAGTTGCAATTGGATGAATAAGGTGGAATTTAGAAGAAACAAGCAAAAAAAGGCAAAAGTGAAAGAAATTAAAAGTCTAGGGACCAAATTGCAAATATCCAAAAGATGAACCGGAACGGCAAAATGGAGATGTGAAAGATTTGAAGACAAATTCATAGATGACATGAAGCATTGGAAGAAGAAAACGAGAAAAGAAATCGAAGATCGAGAAAACGGAGTTTGAGGACTAAAACGCAAAAGTTGGAAAGTAGATAACACTATACAGTCGCATAGTGCTACCACCTTGCAGTCGCATAGCCTAGAGCAGAAAAATTGTAGGCTGAATTTCATTGTACTATGCGACCGCATTAAATATCAAATCCGTGATTTTTTTAATCCCTTTAACTTGTGAAGCAGTGATTAGGGTAAATTGGATTGATTATTTTCTAATTAACTACAATTAAGGTGAGAGAGGAAATCCAACGGTGAATATTCACAAGATAAATTGATCTGTACTTGCATCTATGATCAGTTGTAGAGTTTCGATGGTGGATGTTGACTTAGACCAAAGTTTATTCTTTTGATTGTTTTCAATACTCTAATTTGAATTGTTCGTAGTTAATTTCTTTAAAATTTTTGCGTTATAATAAAAACTCCCAATCCTTGTTTACATAGCATAAAGATAAACAAGATACTCCTCGTGGGAATGATCTTTACTTCCACTACTACATTTGTTTTTAGAAGTAAATGTTTCATTTTTGGGTGCTTGTGACAGCACGCCAAGCATGGAAAAACGATATGCAATATGAAATGGATGGGGTATGAAATAAATTAAGCAGTCCAAGTTCATACCTCCAGAATGGGTCCACGATCAGCACCAAGTAAATGAATTTCATCCAATATCATAAGCCCGACCTACAAATATATTTTTCAAAACCTAATTCAGGTTGAAGGAATATGCATACAAGTTCAGATTCATAACATAGTTTGCAAACTTACGAAGGGTTTCGATTGATAGAAAAAATAGCCAAGAAAAAATAGAAATCACCTTCTTGACATAGCCTCGACTATGCCAATTACGGCTGATGCCATCCCACTTTTCAGGAGTAGAAATTATGATGTCTGCTGATAAGAGAGCTGTCATATCTGGTGTATAATCCCCAGTCATTTCAACCTGATAACGAAGTCACTTGGTTACACACTTGTCATGATTATGCATATATGTGAAGAAAACAAAATTTTAAGCACCATCTGTTTTCCAAGTTTAGAAACAAGATGCTTCTTCCAATCATTCATTCTTTCTCGGACAATAGCCTTCAAAGGAGCAATATAAATAACCTGCATCAGAAAATGATTTCTGTTAATATCATCAAGTAAAAGGCCATCAAACTCTAAGTTTAACTGAAATACATGCACCAGGAATAGCAGTGAACAAAGTTCTGTGATTAAATGGAGGAAATGGACCCATGACCAAGTCAGAAGCCCATTGAAGCACAGGTAGCATATGGGTGCACCAGAGTTTAGCATAGTTCCACCAATGGTTCGAAATGTATTTCTTTTGCATGTACAATGTAGCTTAATACATCTGACATAGTAGTGTCTTTCTGTGTTCCATTACTATATTAGGAATCCCCATAGTAACCAGGACAACATCCATCCAAGAGAATTTAGTGTTTAGAAACAAGAGGTATTTGGACTAAACGTAGATATCTAAGTTCATGCAGAAAATGAACGTATAAATTGCATTTAGAATGTTGCATTCTTTGAATTCTCGCTTACAAGATCAATACCCTACTGGTGTATGGAATGCAAAAGGTTTGATCTTACCAGGCAGTGTTAGTATACAGTATCAAGGATTGACAACATATATTGGTATATACAATTCTCAGCCAGTCATCTGTCACAAATGACAGATCACAACATTCCAAAAGTTCCTTTCACAAAGTATGCACTGAAATATCAGCCTAGTAGACCAGGAAAGGTTGATCAATTGATAGTTACAGCTCTGAAGGATCAGTAGGAAAGTTGCCACAATCATTTGGGTATGTGATTGGGTCAGTAACTATCATGGATAAGCAGGCATAAAACATATGCCTAAATCAAAGTCCACTTATAGAGGTGGCTGATTGTGTGGCATAAAATGTGGTGGTTTAGATACCAATTTTTACAATGGGCAGAACCTTGGAGCTTCAATTTAATGCACATAATCATCATCAACGATAGAACACTCTACTTTTAGAAGTTCAATTTTAGCAATTATACTCTTGTACTTTTGAATACAGCCTAAAGCTATATGAAGCTGAAGTTAGGCATCTGCATAATGTTTAATGTTGTCAGTTATCAATAAATTGTTCACAGCCCACATCAACACCATCTTTGTCGCCACTATTGACTTGTTACAGTATCACTTTACACAGATTAATAGGTTTACTGAGGTTCGTATAAACACAAATCCCACCTCGCTTATTAATTTGGGTCTAAAGCGGTAAGAATTAAGAAACACTTGATAATCATCCTTACATTATGTCAATCCCAATCTTCTGCTTGACTTCTCTAGCTCAAGCATGCATATAACCAGAATAGTTTGTAAATGCAGTAAAGCATGCCATCAGATGGAACAAGGGTGTCAATTTTAATAGTACTTGAGATTTGAGGACCCCATCCATGGTTATATATAATTCTTTTTTCTTTCCCATTTTTCTATTTTAAAAATTTTGAGGTTCCATCAAAGAAATTACAAACTCTAGAAATACTGAAATTGATGAATATTAGATCTTTTACACTGGCCTCATCTTTATCAGATTTTGGCCTCGTCTTCCAAAAAATCACAGTCAAAAAAGGAGCATAAAAATTAGCTTTTTTTCTCCTCAATTGTATTTCTGGTTTGTTTGGGTTTGTTACCATGTGACTAATCGAAGGGAAAGGGGGCAATCCAATGATACTTCCTCATATTGTACAAGAACAACATAAGGTAAGCTACGGACAAAAAGAAGGAAAAATGATAAATGGTGGGATTTCAGATGGATTGGTCAGGAATCCAAGTTTGGATTTGGTATGAATAAAAGAAATTCCTTTGTTACAATATTCAAGTCTCGATGACAAATGGATTTGAACGCTTAAATATCGTTGATATTGATCCAATTCAAGATCATCAAGAGGTAATTCATTCATTAAAATTAGAGTGCGTTTGATTATCAATATTTTCCATGAAAAATGTCATTTTTCACCCAAATTCCTACTTTTGTGCTGTTTGATTAGTATTTTTTCCATGAAAAATATTTTCTTACTTTTAGTCGTGTAACCATATTTTCCTTGAAAACGAGGAAAATACTTCCTTTTAGGGGAGTAGGTTTTTATTTTCCAAGTAATTCTCTCTCTCACACCCCCCCCCCCCCCCTCTCTTTTCATCTACCTACCATAAAAAATTGGACAAGTATTAACATTTTCTAAGTTGAAAAGAAAATCAATCAAACAATTTAATTGACAATTTTCATGCATATAATTTTCAGGCAATTCAATTGTCTAGAATTTATTTTCTTTCCATATAAATTACATGGTAGCAATCAAACACGCCCTTACAATCAAATTATGTAGGGAATAGCTATAAACAGATCCCTACGGAAGACTTAGTCTTTGTGGAGAGAGTTGACATCTTGCACGAAGGGTGTCAGAAAGAAAAAAAAAAAAAAAGGGTAGTACTAAAGATTTAAAAACCCAATCCACGGTATCTGACAATCCAATCAAGCTTTTAGCTTAAGTGACCACTCATACAGGGAAATCAATCAAAAAACAAGACCATATGCACATTAAGTACAGAAAAGGAATAATAAAAATATGCACAAAATTTCACTTATTTTACAAGGAATGCAGGGAAAATAAAAAATCTGATTTTTTAGGAAAATAAAAATTTCTTCTCTTCAATGTGTTGGGCAATACCTCTAAAGTTTATGGAAAATATTGACCCTACCCTTAGTCACTCAATTTTTTCAAATTTTCTGCAATCTGAAAAGAGATTTCCCATAGTTCCCCAGAATTTCCATTCAACCAAACTAGAAAATTTTCTTTTCCTCTATTTTTTTCCCCATTCTCCTGGGAAACAAATGGAGCCTAGAGGAAGCTAGAACTATGGTTAAACACCAATATAGTATCATAATAATTAAGATAGAAACCTTCATATCTGGCTGAGTGTGAAACAGATGGAGCATAGCAAGCTCAGCTGATATGGTTTTCCCACTTCCTGTTGGAGCTCCTAAGAGAACATTCTGGTCCGTATGATACAGAACATGAAAGGCCTGCCACAATATATTTAATCATCAGGTCAGATGAACCATACTTTGCGATACAACTTAAATTTACAATCTTTGCATAAATTAAGAACTAAAACCCAAATAATTAACAGAAAGAGAAAAAAAAAAAGATTGACCAAACCTGTGTCTGTATAGGATTAAAGTGCGAAAATTTATACAATGCTTCATATGTTCCATTGCCAAGTGCAGTCACAGGAAGGGGTTTCAGATCAAGAAGTTCTGTATGCGTCGTATGTGCCTGAAGGATGTATCCTTTTAGATTATGAACAATGTTGACAAGATCAATTTGTCCGATAGCCTTCAAGGGAAAAATATGCAAAACTTTATAAGACCACCTCTGGTAGCGCAAGGTTCTGGAAAGATATGGTGTAAAAAGCCTCAGCATGCATCCACGAATCTGAAATTGCACGAATAATATATTGAGGAGGATGTGGCTCAAATATAGGCACAGTAAAAGATAGCTTTTGAGGTTCCCCATTGGCCATCCGCTTTGTCAACGTAAAGAGCTCTGAGTGGTATATGTGGTCATTCTCGGAATCCTATAAAAGCAAGATGATCAGCTATTCAGTGACTCATAAAGCGCAGGGCATTGACAATAGCAAGTAAAACATTTTAGAATGCATCTGTGCAGACATAAATTTTCAATACACTGGCGCACATATTCACTTGCAGATTAATATTCACAATAAACAGCACAAAAAATGAAATCAATTCACATTCATTCAAACAGAGAGACATGTTTAACAAAGAAGTTGTGCAGAGATCATCTTCAAAGATACTTTCATTTTTTTGCTTTTGGTTGATCTAAAGATTGGATAGAAGTGCAGGCAATGACAGATTCTCATAGAGAGAATTTAAAAACTAGAAAAGGAACAGCTACCTAATTCCTCTGACATCAGACAGTGCAATGAAATGCATTGGAAGCTAAAGCACGTAGGAAGAAAAAAAAATGCTTTATCCAAAAGAAGACCCTTTGGCATCTGATCTCAGAAAATCCAAATTCATCTTTCAATCGAAATCTTTCGAAATAGCAACTGAGATTAACATTTTGCACTCTCACTCCTACCAAACCCTGAGATATTATCTTCTAATGTCGTGACGCATGAAGAAAACATGGAGGAATTGGGGATGCACCCCACTTAGTAGGCTGAGTAACCAAGGTACACTTTGAATTGGTGATGCACCCCCTTAGTGCTCTTTCGATAAAAAATTAAGATAGAGCCCTTATCAAATGGAAAAACAACTAGTTAACTTAAAGATACAGGTCAAAGTGATTTAGATGATAATACCCAACTGGACAAAAGGTAAATAGTTTTGATATCTCTCATACCTCTCAGAACAGAAATTTCTTATCCAAAACTAGAAAATGTTTGAATAATGGTATCGATGTCGGGCCTCTATATGTAGTAGTTCAGTAATTTGAGCATGACAAATTCCCATCTGTGCCACCCTTGCAGCTTATGTCATCACTGTCTTAAAATTTGAATCATTGTGAAGTTCTTGTTATTTCATTGGCCACCTTGTTAAGATACAACACTGTCTAGTGGCCATAAACACAGATCAACTATGACTGTGCAGTAGACAAGCATTCATGTTCTCATCACTCAACTGGCATAAAACCTCTGCTTTGGAATGACACACATAAATGGTTTCTTCCCCGTGTAATACAGACTAAGAAAGACGAAGGAAAAAAATTGAAGTAGAAGACATCTCCAACTACTCAATTCTTTTGCAAAGTCTCAAATTCTTGTGCTGATAATTTTTTTTGTAAGATTCTACATTATTTTTCTTCTTAAAAAATTACATCTTTCAGCTATCAGTTTCATTTGCTTGATACTTGGATAAGGATGATACTTTATTTCTTGTCACTTAACCATAAATAGTTTTCAAAATTTTAAGACGGAAGGATCCGTCAATGATTTATACAAATAAGAAATAAAAGAATGACCAAGAAAGGAAATTTCAAGGCACACCTCCACTAGAATCCACCAGCGCTGGGCAGTACCATGAAACCGATCTTTCCATGAGAAATCTGGTGTAATGATCAAATCAATCTAACAGAAAAAGATAAACGAAATTTTAGAACTTCAACTATAAGGTCGTTCACAACAATTCAGTAGCAAAGAACAAAGGATGTTTAATGATATCAACTTTCTGTTACCTTCAGAACTGTTCTCGTAATTGGACTCACTGTAGCAAATAAGTGGAGCATTGGGAAATATCCCAAGTATTGCTTGACCAACTTCAAGTCAGAAAATAAGCTAAATCAAATTTTATGGAGTTCATATTAACTGATGAAAGTCATACAATAAAAGTCCTGGAACTAGATAAGTAAATGAAGCAATACCCTCCCTGCAGGTGCATAGCGAATCAAAGCTCCAATATCTTTCTCATGCATTTCATACAGGTGATCTAAGTCAACTCTTCTTTCTTCAAGTTTCCTCAGTATCTGAAACAAATAAAAAAACTCATAATTTCGACTTAAAATACACCTGCGCTGAGAAAGAAAAATGAAAAGCTAGACGGACATCTGCTGAAATATCTTTGTCAAATTGTCTTAGAGGATGTTGATGGGGCCAAATTTGACGATCCACAGCCTTGCAATATTCCAGCATGAAAGAAGACATTTCACTCCACCCTCTGCGCAAACAAATTTCAAACAAAGCTCGCATAATACGAGCCAAGCTTGCACTGACATATGCTGCATCGGAGACTAATGAAAAGGAATCGATTAAACCTCGAGATATATACATCTGCAAGAAAAATTTAATCCATAATTATCAAAGACGGCGCATTACTTCAAAAAGTATATGTCACGTACAGATGATAATTCACAGGAACCTGAATAAGAATTGAAACTTTGCCATGTTTATTTGATGGACCACCCTTAATTTCCAATGGACATGTGCGAGCCAACATTTCCAACTCATTCTGTTCCTCCTCTCGCACCACGATATTTTCAAATTCAGAAGAATGGGCAACCATGTCAATCACCTATACAGATGTCCTCGTGTTGGTGAAATTGAGAAGTTTGAATCAAGAAATTACATGAAAAAGTAACCGCCAATCAATTCATTAAAATTCCAATGACTTGAACCATAAATCCCACTGTCAGAGATCATATTATAATACACTTTGCCATATTAGCAACCAATATTTCTTATTACAAGATTGCAGTAGAGAGTTTTAGTTTCTGAATTATTTTCTTATACTTCTCACCCCAAAAGGATGTTCTTAAGAAATCCAGAGGAAGAAGGGTTCAACAATTAAAGTACAAGCTCTAAACTTCAAAGTCCAGAGAACATAATTTCCTTTCCCTTACACTACATATTCATTCAATATACAAATTTTAAATTCAATTTTTCACTCTACCGAACTCCCATCTTTAAATGGTCCTTTCATGACTTATTTACTCATGACAAAGATATAGTGGGGAGTATATAATTAAATCTCACTCAAACAAACATTAAAGAAAATATGAAGAAAGGCAGACAAATGTTCCACCAGATATGAAAATAAAAGTACAGAATAATTAATTGTCAAAGCATTAGTTGATAAGGAAAAAATAAGTGTTGAAGCATTCATTAAAATATTTTCACCTTGCATTGCATTACACAAAGAAAGCTAGATATCAAAATCAATTACCTCGCTATCATTCATATGGCATCTCAACATTTCATTGTAAGTTTCAACACTAGAATATTGAATATAAAAGTGGCTAGCAATACGACCAAGCTCAGTGCAATAGAAGTTGCCACTTTTCTCATCAAAGCGCATCATTTTTGCCTTGTCAAGAGCACGTGCAGCATCTGATACCAGAGCTCTTTGCTTTAAGCTCAATGAAGGATCTGCAATTACCTGCCATGACAAATAATATATTTGAAAATATTAACTTAATCAAAGTGAAGGTAGTGCTAAACCACCATATCTAAAAGCTTCCACTCTTAGAGATGGGACAAATTTATTTATTTAGATTGAAGCCCTATTTGGTTCAGCTAAAAAATTGTATAAATCCAAGTCAAAGTCAACAATAATTATACACGCATTTCATGGGACCAGTAATTTTTCAACCACACATTCCATCAACTTTTATCAAAACTACTAAAAATTTGATTTTTTTCTGAACCAAACAAGGGCTTAGTCTTCCACCATTACACACGTCCCCTCACATCTAGGTAAAATTTATTTTTTCATAAAAATCTGACACATGTAAATTTTATGAATGAGTGACGGGAAAATATTAAATAGGATCTTTGCATGTTTTGATACCATGTTGAACAGCCTGATCTAAAAACTAAAGCGGCTAAAGATGGAACACATTGATTTATTTGAAGATAGTCATCAATGTAAGGCACAAAACCATGAGAAGATTCCCCTAGGAAACTGAAAGCTACTGGCCATACAAGACAAGGAGCTTGGAAAAGGTAATTAATCCAGCTATAAATATGATAAAATAAGTTGATTTACGAAAATCATTTATCAAAAACTCCACCTAAAATTCTTCCATAAAAGAAGTTCAACATTTTACACTAGACTTAATAACTAAAAAGGACAAATTTTAATAATATAGACCTTTTGGAATAACACTTTAACGGATGGATCAAGTTTGGACTAAGATACCCTCTATATAATTTAGGTGTTGGTTCCAATAGAATTGATAAGAGAAGATAGTCTAAACTAGAAACCATATCAAAACCAAAACCCAAAGACCCATAGGTCCCACCTTCCTATATTTATTAATTCTCATCAAAAGTCAAGTTTGAGTATCACGTGCACTAAATGGTCACATTCTTTTTGTTTAACCATGCTTCTTTTCATAAACTTGAAAAATAATTCAATGTAAGCTTGAATCATAAATAAGCTTTCTAATAATCACTTATTAAGCATGTCATAGAAGATAAGTGAGTGCAAAGTCTATTTAAGTTAAAAAAAAATGGTGTAGTCAAAGGACACTTCTGATAATTCTATCTAATTCACAAATCATTTCTTGGATCTAAAATTAAGGAGCTCTCAAAAAATGGATCAGATAAATAGAGATGTTGCATACTCATATTTCAAACAATATATCCATAAAGCCTTTGATTATCATTCATCAAGCAAGTTACTGAAAATCCATGCGACTGTGGGAAGTCATTTGAAGTTATAAAATAGTGTCGTCAAAGTAAAACTTTTAATAATCATATGTGCAATCAAAATCATTTCTTGAATCTAAAATAACAGAGCTTTTCAAACAATAGATCTATTAAATAGAGATTTTTCAAAATCAGCAATTTAATTTCTTAAAATCGCCTTCACTAGCACCACTTTAGAATTAAGAGATTAAATTTCAATAGGTGAGATAAAGTAGGTGGGTAAATATAAGTGTTTAAACTTTAAAAACAGTTGCAGAATGGTTTGATAAATAGTGATTACCATAGTTACCCTCAATTATCTTGTGCTAAATGGGAATTAGGGCCTGTCTGGGATAGCTTCTCCTTCTGAATTGTTTCCACTTTTAGTAGAAGAACTTCTTAAGAAAGCCACATTAAGCTAACTCTAAAAGCTTTTCTAATCAGACAAAGTACTTTAAGAAAATATTCCACACACACCCAAAAGCAGCTTCTTAGTTCAAAAGTCATGTCAAAGGGCCCTTAGACTACAAAGTAAGAATGTTATAACAATTTTCATGGAGAGAATGTTGAGACACCAAATGGCCTACACCCAAACCCATGACCATTTTTCGCTTTCATAACCATTTCATAATCTACCATCCACTCAATCTTCATCACTTCCTTTCATAAGAAAATCATATATTGCATGCTTGACCCCATGAACCACTTTAATTGAATTCTTAAAAAGACAAAAGTGGTACCAAGAAATTCTAGAAAGGAGAGAACAACTTGACGTTAATCATGACTAAGTAAATTGTTTACCTTAAAAAGGTAAGATAAGTTCCTCCCTGACAATCCAAACACAACTCATAGTTCTCTATTTGAGGAAGCATATACTTGCTCTACAAGTCTTTAACAAGTCCATTTCAGAAGCAACAAACTCTAATTAGCAAAAAATGGTGCACAGGTAATCTAGCTAGAACAGTAGTCAAGATCTAATACACACCCTTCACTAGGTTGATGATTCCGAAATCTCTATAATTTCTTGGGAACACTTTTCAAGGAACAACAGATGTAACCTGGTTCCCAATAATGTTGGTGTCGAATACATGAATCTATTTTTGTCACTTCTTTCAATCCATTACCAGGTATACTGGAATGCTCTAACCAAGAACTTTCAATGAATCCACCTTGTGTTCATTCCAACAAGTATGAAATGTCACAGTGAAACTATTAGGTCTCTTCAAACATGCCAATGACTTGCATTAATTCGAAGATTTAATTCATCCCCGTAGTTATCAGCAGATTACGAGAGCAATAAATCAAACGTGTTCAAAATATCAAAAAACCAGAAACATACCTCATCCCATCCAATACCATATGCCAGAGGATTCATTTTCATCCTTATAAAGAGATATGTATACCCAAGCCAAGCACAAGCCTCCTTAACATTTGTCACCGTGCCCAGTGCGACCTCTGCATTTAGGTTATCCTTTAAAGAGTTGATAAACTGCAAGTCAAGGTATAAGAACAAAAAGAAAAGTGTCAGTCACATGATGCAACAAAAATTGAAAATATAGTTCAAAATATTTTGGCCACATCAACTTACTATGATGCACCGATACGGACACGTGTCCATATCGTGTCGAATACGTCGACACGTGATTTTTCAAAAAAGGACACGACACATTGTCAACTCTTTGATTAAATTCTTTAAAAATCTTCATTTATATGGTATAAGTTTAGTTTTATACTTGTTATTAATTTTTTTGCTAAAATCTTTTAAATATGAGTACCTATTTATTATTTATTAATAACGTTAGGTTACAAATATATAATATTTATAATAAAAAATGAAAAATATTTACGATAAAGTGTTCGCGGAGTGTCGATATCGACACGTGTCCAACACACGCTACCCTAATTAAAAGTATCTGTGCTGCAAATTAACTTACTTCTGGAAAAGTAAACAAGGACTTGTGTACCAAAACAAATTTATGAAACGCATTAATGTATATATGGCATAAATTAAATGTTTAAAGTAGTAAAATTCTAGTTTCCAAAGAAACCCTATGAGCTACAGCACCTCGAACGCAGGCAGTCGTAAAATCCTAAGAAGATCATGCTGTAAGTTTCCAACTAATCAATTTGGTCTTCTATCATCCTTGATTACTCTCGGTTGTGTTGAATGTTCCAAACCATAGAAGACATATTGCGGCATGGAGGAGAAAATTTCGAGAGAAGGATAGTAAACTTGTATGGAGTCTTATTCTAGGATGCATTGTATGGTGTGTGTGTGGAGAAAAATGAACGGCCACTATTTTGAAGACCAATGAAAAACAACATAGCAGATCGGAGAATTGTTTTATATGACTTTATACACTTGGATTAATGCTGCGGCCATTAATCATATAGAAAGACTGTCTAGCTTTATGCCGTTTCTTTCTTGTTTAAATTAATAATACTCCTCCCATGTATTATCCTTTAATTAATAAAATTATCTAATTACTTATTAAAAAATAAAAATAAAAATTGTTCCAAACCACGTTACTCTCAACAAAATGTTACCCAAAATGTAGATACATATTATTCAAGAAATGGGATCCATAGTAGAACTTACCACCGAGGGAAAATGTAATACGCTATTGGTAGACTTTCTTAGATTAAACCATAATAACTTTCGAAAAAGATTTAGACAATACATTGGGATTTTTTTGTGATTTAAACTCCTAAGAATTCTAAAAATCTTCAAGGTAAAAGTTCAATTTCCGTATCAAATTAATTTTGAAGTATCATAAAATAAGAAAGAAGAGGTATAAAAAATTGATTCAGATTACCACCTGTTTGCGATTTGCCAGGGGTGTACTGAATTTGGATTCTCTGTTTTCAACATAATGCAGAAGGCGAAGAGGCGATAGTGTCAAGAAAAAGACAAGGCATTCTAGCCCCAGACAGACCTCACAGAGTCTGTAGGCAGTCCAATTATGCTGCAAACAGACTCAGATCTTCTCTAGTTTTTCTTGTAAAATTTATGACACTGAGATTGAATTTTTTTTTTCAGAGAATATATTCTTTAGGTTTTTCCTCCAAGTATTATCAATCTAAATCATCATGACACGTTAAGTTAGGTGTAAAATTTGTGCAATTAGTTCTTTGGCCAAGATCATTACCCAGGGAGATCGATTGATGCTATTATAAAACCCTTGACAACTAATTGAATATTCTAGAGCCGTTGGATCCCCGGAATTTGATTCTGTAACTCGATGCCAATAAGCTAGAAACTCAGCAATAGCAGTATTATAGCACACTTTTCCCAGTAAAATTAGCAACAATTGGCTCACTGTAACTGATATCACCCTACTACAAATTAGTAAAGAAGATAAAACCACCTGACACAATGACAATTTCAGCAACCTCTAATGATATGCCATAACATTTAAATATACTATTAATCTAATCAGCTATTTATTTTAACAAAATGTCCAAATACGTAAACATCAATACTACATAACTAAGAGAATAATTCTTCGTCCAATTTATATATTGCCTCAGGTTACTGAAAGAGTGTGATAATGATTACAATTATAATATCTTGGATTCTTAATTCAAGGATTTATCTACCATGCAGAATCTTTCTGTACGTACATGCACTACAGAGTGTTAAACATATGCAGATTGCACCAGCATCTCACGCCTTGCTTTTATTACAGCTTTACAGGGAAAAAAGTACAAGACAAGGATTAATTTACCATTTGAGTAGATATTAGAGAGAAAGACGCTGACAGACAAGAGGTAATCAATACGAGTACAAAACAAGAGTCCTGACATGTCAAAAAGAACATATCCAAATAACTTCACCGCAAAAATTTACCTGACTTTCAATGGGGAGTTGACTTGTGAGGAGACGCAGATAGTAGGCTAATTTGTTGTGACTCGTGATTATAATTCCTTCACCACTTTTATCAAATTGGGGTCTTCCAGCTCGTCCAAATATCTATAAAAGGATTTCTACATCAGAAACGCACATAATAACATTAATGAAAGATAAACCAAAAACATAGCCAATTTGAACCTGCATAACATCGAGCATGCCCAAATCTCGCCACCCACCAGCTTTTGCATCATATATTTGGGTTCCCTGGACCGATAACATGCATAAAAATCAGAAGGCTTTAAACAAAAGACGTAAAAACGTCATGATGGTATCTGATGTTCAATTATAGTAGAAATGACTGAATGCAATCGGAGAAGTTAGAAGATTCAAAATTTTGGCCCCAAATTAGGGCTTGTAAAGAGATAAAGTGCAACGAACTTAATTAGATTACCTCGACGCAACATATGATACTGCTAAATCACAATCCAGTTTTTAGAGGGAATTATCTTATTGTTAAAGACTAAAACAACTTAAACTTTTAAATAAAGTGGTTCAACATGGTATACCATATCAGACCACGCAAGATCATAAGGTCTTATGCTCAAGTCTCCCACCATCCATTTAATGAAATTGTGCATGTGTTAGACTTTGATAAAAAAAAAAAATGAACCCCTCCTACACGTGAAGGGGGATTGTTGAAAACAATATTTAAATTATATGAGTATAACCCTCTCAATAGCTTAAGATTTTAAATCAAGTGGTTCAACACTTGTCCATTGGAAAAAAGACAGTGTCCAACAAAGAAATATTTGACCAATTGAAACATGATGTTAAATATGGATGTTCAATCACTTCGTGTAGAATTAAAAAACATCAAAGAATTGCTCCATGAAGAATATAGTGTGGAACCTAATACTATCAATTAATTAGCATAGTTCCCACAAGGCAATCAAGACTAGTGCTTCGAGGTTGAGGTTTTAGTAAAACAGCATGGAAGGATATTAACTGTGATTGGCAAAAATTTCTGCAAATAAGCTTATGCTTGAAGGCCATATGGCTGAAGTGAAGATAAGACTCCATCATTATAGCTTGGACGAGAATTAAGCATTCAAGAGTGTGACACAGTCTGCATCTAGCTACCAAAAAGGTAGCAGAAAAGAATAAACCCGAAGGTAGGCAGAGAGAGAATAAACCAGTAGGAAACTGTACGACAGAGACTTGACAGTCGCTTATATAAACTAAAAGCAGATAAAACAAATCCTACTTGGCTTATAGTAGTGTTCAAATTATTCTTCTCTAAATCAGTGAGTCAAGACAAAAAATAACTAATCAATAAGACGAATATTTAAACAGAACAACCTTAATTACAACAGTGTGAGCTGGCAGATTTACTCCCCATGCCAAAGTAGCCGTGCAAACAAGAACCTAGCAGTAAAGAGAATGTATTTAAAGTAATATACCAATGAAAATCTAAGATCACAAAATTGAAAAGTGAGCAGCATACCCTCAAAAGTCCCTGTGAGAAGAGTCGCTCAGTCAGACCTCTGTCAGCACGTAACATCCCAGCATGATGAATGCCAACCCCGTATTCAAAAAGTTGGACAAGATTCTTATTTCTGGACTTCATTACTTCTTTCTAAATTGCATAAACAGGCATACCAGAAAAGTTAACATTTTATGAAATAGGGGTTACCATAAAAATTTTCAACAGAAATTATCTTGCCTTAACAAGTCCATGCTGAGGGTGGGACTCATTTGTGAAAAGATCGAAATCCTCGTTCTTCCTGGAAATTTCCACCTGCATAGAACGTCAGCCAATGAGGGTACAGAGGATCAATATATATGATCACCATATCTTGTATAAACAATTTAAAGAAATAAATAATAAACAAATAAGCATACATCATGTTTGATAAAATTCTGGGTCAGTGGAGAATTTTGTTCCCGTTCATGTTACAGGATGCTCTTAAATTAGTACAAGTAGAACTTCCTATCCTTGTATAGAAACGTAAAGGAGGCAATGGCACATTGAAGTATTGATTGCCATACATCAAGAATTCTACGCGATCCACATTGAAAAATTTATTCAGATGATTTAAAAAGATCTGAACTGTGTATTTCATTCCATTGAATATTTCAAAAATGAAACAATGTCTGGAGACAGAAAGCTTCCAATTCATTTTTTTTAAATATAACGAATTTCACTATTTACAGGTTAAGCAGAATGATTATGTAATGTATTCTGGAACTTGATTTCACATTTATATAGAGTGGTCATACTTATGAAGGATGCATCACCACTTTTTACTTTCAAATAAAACCTCAAAATAGAAAAGTCACGATTTTCTCTTATAAAGACAAGAAGAAGCACTAATTGAAATTGTATATCAGGCAAAAAAAAAAAAGAGGAATAATTTCTTTGCAAGAATATCTAAGTGATCATGTTCAATGTGTTACCAGTTTTTCAGCTGTTTTTACAGTGTCTTTCCGTGAATGAACAAAAACCATAACCTGATGCCCTCGCCGTAATGAATCAACAACCTGGAGAAAGAAGTGCAACCACAATTGTCAATTCGTCAAACATCAAAAATATTGGATATAGAGTGGGTTGGCAGGACCAAATAGTACTTTGTTGTAGCATATTTCATGCAGCAATTCATTGCGAGCTGAAAAGTTCTGCTCAGAAACTCCAATGTACTTCTGCTCAAGAGGTACTGGGCGGTAGCTTGAGTCAAAGAAAAATAAGCCTGCCTCTGGATTCACCCTCAGAAATTGTGCAACCTAGGTGTTTCCAAAGGTAAGACGGTTGTCATTTGAGATTAACTAAACTCAATAAAATATATTTCATTTCCATCAAAAATAAGGTTCCCAATAATAATTTAAGCAAGCTGAAACATGCAACCTCCAAATAATTGGGTAGCGTGGCAGAAAGGCCCACAATGCGAATCATACTTTGTGTGGACTCCACCTGTACAAAATTTTAAAAAATAAATAGTTAGAACCAAATTTGAGATCCACGTTCGCATCCTTCATTGTTGGAAATTGGACATATGTTTTGAAATGACTTATTTAGGTATAAATAGTTCAAACATTTCAGGTATTGATATCCAGCAAATGGGACTCAACGAGCTTGAGAAGAGAAATCAGTTTTAAACGGAATGAATTGAAAATAGCCCATGATTCAAAGTTCCGTCCAAATAATTACAGAAGGCCATGAACAAGGGATGATATAATTAACCACCATGTGACCATCAACTCCACCACCACTAGTCAACCATCCAGGATCGATCTCCCAATCCACTAAAACACTTCGTAACACCACCAAAATTGCCATCAATTACCTTTTCTTGGCCACTGGTCCAATAAACATGAATTAGGATGTGCATTTGCTGTGATAAGACTATGCCACCAACTCTCTTCCTTCCTCTGCTGGCCCACAACTATAATAAGACCTAATCACCACTGTCAATTTTAAGGATCACTAGTCACATCTCAATCTAACAGCCAACTTACTAGCGCATTTAGATGAAGACGCAATCTCGCAATGACAAGTCATGCTAGGATGTAAAGTGAGGGTCAAAATGGAGAAGACAAGGAAAATCACAATCCTTGTACCTTGTCAACTAATTTCTCCAGAAAAAATAAATGAAATCATGAATATGCATGATAATACAAGTTCTCTTTCATCTAACCTACAGCCAAATTATATATGGCTCGAAATTACATCAAATCTGTTAGCAGGTGAGAAAGCATGGGAGAAAGAGAGGAAAAGAACTATAGCTCACTTCTCGAATTTCTTCGACATCAAATTTTCAGATTAACCATCACAAGAAAGCCTCAAAACACTCACAAAACCTATCGTCCGAATTTTATTAATTTGAGAAGAGCAATTTAGTCACATTCCAGAAACTCATCAAATATTAAAAATGCAAAACTCAACCTGTGGTTCCTAACATGAAAATCATTACCTAAGATAGTGTGAGTATAGGAAGATCACTGCAATTTGCCTTAGCCAAAGGAACATTCAAAAAATGGGTAACTGACAACCTTCCAAAGAATAAATATACTAAGTTATGCCATGTGCCTTGCCTGACGAAGAGTGCGAGCTACTAATGCTTCTATCACAGAACCTCTATCATCATTCAACAGATGCACTTCATCGATGATTAAGAGCTTCACTAGCATTGAGAGTGACATATCGCTGCTTTTCCGAGTGATCACATCCCACTTTTCAGGTGTTGTCACTATCATCTAAATTACATGAAACAATTTAGAAGAAAATTAAGGGTATCCTCTAACCATGAAATTCATCAAGCAAAGAAGAAAGTTTTCTTCCCGTATAAAATACACATAAATTAAAAAAATCACATGAACAATAGATAACCTGAGTTTCTTTGAGTTCATTTTTAGAGAGTTGCATATCTCCAGTAAGTTCTCTCACAGTTACATTCAGAGGAGATAATCGATTGCTAAACGTTGATGTGACCTCAGCAGCTAATGCCTAGACGAGACATGTCCAAATATTAAAGATTAATTGAGAAAGATCATGTGTAATCCAATGATAAATTTTACCTTCATAGGAGCAACATAAACTATCTTGAATTCATCTTTATGTAGATAACCATCCCTGAAGTGTTGTCCAATCTGTCCAATGAATCAAATACATTTCATATCAAAATTCTATCATAACTGAATTCGAGTTCTACAACTTCACAATTCAAATTTAACCATTCTTAATGAAACAAAAGCAGAGTAGCAAGCTAGAAATTGATCGTTCAAGTATCAGATAATGATCTTTGCATGAACGAATCGCAGAATCCTAGAGTCAGTAACATTGCCAATGGAATGAAGATATTTGAGAAGTTCCAAATCATGAAATTAGAAACAAGAAAAGAACACTCAATCCCATTGACTGCACTGATATGAGTAATAATTTTCTCTCCCCTCTATTCCTTTTAAAAGAAAACCAATAGTATGTACTTAAGAAAATCAATTTAGACAAAACTTCAACGCAGGTTGAATGATGTAGCACATCACAACTACAATTAATAGCTTCATACTACAATTATATTTTATCTTTTCTAGGAGTTTATCTTTTCTATTATGTTTATCTTTTTAGTTTTATTGTATAATTGTAATAAAACTTTTATCTTTCATTTAATTAGGATTATAGTTTCAATTTTCAAATACTATTGGAAGAAGGGAATAATCTTGCCTATAAATATAGAGGTATTGTACACTTTCCAACAACAATCAATTATTATTCAATATATACATGAAATGATTGTTCAAATATCGTTTTTATTTATTACATAATTCTTATTACAAGAATTTTTGTTATCGCTTCCGCACCATTCAAGAACAAAGATAATTACCAATAAGGCTATGTTTTGTATTAATTATTTTGACTGTCTAATGAAAAAAGGACGCACTCTTAATTAAAATTTTGGGGATTCAGTAGGAGAAATGTTGCTAGAGGATTCGGGATATATGCCACCTTGGATTTAACTTGGTGTATATGGAACGAGTGTAATGTCATATCCTTTGAGGACCAATATATACCTTTGCATTTACTGTGGGATATAATTGGTTTTTTTAATATCTTTATGGAGGGTATATGGAGCAAGGCTCAGGGAGCTTTTTTCACAATGTCATTCTTAAGCTCAATTGGAAAGTGATTCTAGCTAAAAGTCGTATTTTCTTCATGTTCTATTGCTGAGGAGATAATCTTCTATGGATTTTGTACTCCCATTTATATATGTCTCCGTGTCTATGAGATGTTGACTTATACAATGGGAACTGAATAATTATCATGTAAATAGTCACAAAGTTCATTAAGTACCATTTAACCAATTCTTATGATTGATAATTCAAATGCTCATAATGAAATTGGGATTAAAAAACATATATATACATAATAAAATCACTCGATTTTCAGTGGGTGAAAAGGGAAAATCAGTATCCGATGAGCATAATGACAATATAGTGATGAAACTTGACACTTCGCATTCTCTCCCTTGACCATGCGAGAAAAATGACCATGGCATGAACTTCTCCAGACAGATCGCATCATATTTAGCGCCTCAAATGGACAGCATCAAGTGGTGGCTATCAAGAAGATGAAAATTATGTATTCCTTGATGGCTTCAAAACTATAGACTGGAAACTTGTCCACCATGCAGAGGTAAGCAACTTATAATCTTATATTTCTCTACTTGACGCTCCCATAGTCAAATATTATCGTTGTCTCCAGCCAAATAACTGAAACTAAAGCTGAGAGTACCTTAGAAAAGGAATAAATTTCTTCATAGATTTGTTTGTTAGTTTCTTTTCCAAGATGCTCAAGGGCCGAAAATTATCCAATTTGCCTTCTACTCAGATTGCTGAAATTTTGATGTTGACGTCAATGACTAAACAGCACAGAGCATCTGTCTAAAACACCACTTCTGAAATTACAAGGGACAAAATTACCATCTTAGAGGCTATTGTACTGATTGTAATAAACCTTCTACTTTGCACTCACTTCTGTGCTCTATGCAATTTAAACTAATTAAGGAAAGCCGAAGGTCATAGCCTCTCATGAGGAAGCATCAGTAGCAAAAGGCACTTGTTTGATGTACCAACCATATTAAGGTAGCGATCAACATAACATTTGGCAAAATATTCAAAAGAAAAGAATCCTTCGATACATGGAATGAAAGAACTGCTATACTTCTAATTTAATTGTATAGTGCAACTCAAACATTGCTTGTGCTTTAATATTTCTTTCTTCGTGCAATCCCAATCCAGTTTATAAATTTGAAATTATGGGTTAGGACATGACAATAGTGCCTCCTCTCTTGCATTTACTCTTGTTTCGTTGCCTTACTTTTTCCATTTACTACGCAATTTTTCCTACAGGTTCGCATGCAATTATTTCAGAGGGAAAACTTTATATCACAGGATAGGAGAAAGTAGAGGCCCAGTGCATACCTCATGTAAAATAGCAATCATAGCTATATTTGTTTTTCCAGCACCTGTGGGGGCACAGACCTGCAGGTCATTGAAAGAGATATCAAATGCTCTACTTTCCAAGAAGAACTAATATAAAGGAAAAAAAAAAACATGAGGTTAATTCACCAGTATGTTCTCATTAGTATGGTAAGTTGTTTGGTATATTCTGCTCTGGATGCGGTTCAAAGACTTGTAGCCATGAAAAGCAGCTTGTGCAAAATCATCTAACTCCTTTATTTCAATCTGACAATATATAAAAACAAACAGTAACTGTAGGAACAAAATGAAACTCAACGGTAATTGACAACAAATTACAAAGCCCCCATTATTTAAAATTGTAATGGTTGGAATTTTTTTTATTTATTTATTTATTTTATTTTATTTGAAGAATGTGTGGCTAAAAAAGAAGAAAAAGTTTTGGAATTACGTATAATATTATTTTATTGGAGAATGTGGGATTGATAAGAAAAGAGAGAAAAAATGAATTATAATTTTAATGGGGATCAAACAGGGGCTAAGTTTGTAGCCATGTCTGCATCGGCATCCATCAAAAGAAAAGAAGTGATGCGATTCAGAAAACTAAGCAATCATGTAGAGGCGGACAGTGAATACTCAGTGCAGAATATGTTTTCTGAAATATTTGACCTATATTCTAAATCAGATAGAAATATGCCTTGATCCACGAAGTCAAATTACATGTCCATCATACTATTGATATGTAGCACCCAATACATCAGTTATAGCTAAGTGAATCCTATAACAAAAAGATAAATATAGAAAATAAACTAGACAAAGGAATGCCTCTGGGAAAATGGAAATAAAAATATCTCATCAGTAAGATGGTTAATGGCTTTTCTTAATTATAAATATGTCAACCCTATGTAATCGAAATATCACACAGCAGAATATCCTGAACATACCAGCTTCTCCCCAGGTTTCATTGGTGCAGTTGGTGTAGGGGGGATAACAACTTCTTCATATCCCTTGTAATGCTTCCTTACAGTGCCCTGAGGAAGGGCTGTGTGCAGCCCATCACCCTGCCCAACCAAATCATCAAACAGATTTTTCTTCTCACTTGCTTGAAGTAAAGAACTAAAAGTCAGAGAAGATAAGTCGTTCTCAGTCCCATAATCTGTTCCACGTCTTTGCTTCTTTTCCTCCTTGCGGCGAAGTTTATCAATTTGCCTTTCAGACTCTGTTTGAACAGTAACCTATACAAATAGGAGAAAGTAATTTGTAGATATCTAGTCATGTATTCTAATTACAAACCAAGAAAAAATGTTTTAAAAGCTTCCAACAAACAGTAAGTTCTGTTTGTTACCTGTGTGGCATAACTGGGCATGCGTGGTTGTGTGCTTGAATTTAATTTGTCAGATTTCAGTACTAGCAGTCCCCGGTGGATAGCTTCAATAAGTTCCTTTCTATGCTGTAAGCAGGGAAAAGAGTACAGAGGGATAAAGAAATGAAGCAAATTTTCAAACTACACAGCACAAGTAGCTAGATTGCATAGAAATAGTTATTCTTTTTACTAGCTTAAATTGTATGATCTGCCGAATAGCTTAGTGATCTTCATAGAAACAAGAATGGGAAGTCGTAATATGTTGAGAACGTTATCCTACAGATAATTTCAAATCGAAAAAAGTGTGCAAAAGCAGCACTGCAGTCACTGATAAAACAAGTTTCATAACTCAGCCCTTCCAAAGTACATGGGTAAAAAGCAAAATATGCTCACCAAACTAAATATTAACACGATCTAATTTGATGAATTATTCCTATTCGTACCAGGATAAGGTCTTGAACTGTTTCGAATGAACTATCACCAGCAAGATCCAGCAAGTCGCCAGCTATCTTCACATCAAAACTATGAATGTAATCAAAAGTACCAATAGCTAAGTTTACTGATGAACAATTAATATTTTCTTTGTACCTCGTCACCAGGTTTCTCTGAATCAAGAACTCGGCAAATGGCCATTGCCAGTTCATCTCGAGGAAACTGTGAAGTACTTTCCTTGACAATTTTATCACATGAATCTCTCAGCCATTCTAAGTCAAAAATTCTTTCACTAACAGACGGTTGGAAGCCTGCAGTATCACCATACTCAGACCATTCCTGATGACTAGAAGATGTGTTTGTTTCCTCCATGGGAAATTCTGCATCCCCCAAAGAGATATCGACTAGAAACCTAGCAGGATGTTGGAAAACCAGGTCTGAACCAAATTCCAAATCCTCGTTATTTCCATTTTGTGATTCTGATGAAGACACTGTCCCGTGCTCATTGTTCTGTAAAACAGAAAGACTCTTTGCCCAGGATGCAACTTTCAGTAAGTTTGCATCTGAAACAGCATTACCAAATAGTTTTTCCAACTCCAACCTAACATTCACGAAGGCTACATTAAATTAAGCCCGACCACGATGAAAGGTTTAAAAATGAAAATATCAAGATCATGAATAGTACAGTATGATAACAACACAATACGCCATGCAATATTGATTGTCAAATTATGCATCCAAATTTTTGTTTAGATGGAATATGACCACTCTAAACGTAAAAGAAAATAGAATATTTAACATATTAAAGAAATAAAAAGGTAAGCACTTTATTAGCACTCTTGAGAAGCACGACATAGGCATAGTCAACACGTGATCAAAATAGTAGGGCACAAACACGTGGCAGATATCAGTTTCAATTCTTCAAAATTGTACGTTTATATATTACAAGGATGACTCGAATTTTGTGGTTGAAAAAGGATTAGAAGTGCATTTACTAGTTTTCCACAATTTCTGTATTTCAAAGTCCACTGCCAAGCCTCTTGGATCTTTCTGGGAAGACTAGAAATGGTTCTGACAAGGGATGATTACATTTTTCAACCATCTGCATAACTAGAGAATGAATTGTGTGCTCTTGTATGCATGGCATCCCCTTTTCAAGTTACCTTGCTGCCAGGGACTGTAAGTCTTTGGTCTAGATTAAGTACAGAAATAATTGCTCACTTAAAAATAAAGGCAGCCCATCAGAAACTGTCCAAGGCTTTTCCCCGAGCAAAGAAATTACAGACCATATAGCCTGGACACATTGAAAGCTGTAATACTTGCAGGTGTCATTAGGAGCAATGAGGCAAAAACATAGGTTCCTCCACAATTATCATGAGCTCCGAACAGTGTCACTGGACACTCATGCTGGGTCATAAAGTCCTCGTGAGTATACTAATTAAAGGTTCAAGGTTAGGCTGATTGAGCTCATTAAAAGGACCATCTCCGTACCAAAGATACTCAGCAGGGGAACCTCCAATTTAAAAAGAAAAGGGACAACATTTCTTACCACGCAATTAAATAAGACAGCCCTAGTACAACTTTTTGAGTAAAAATAAACCTATGTTTAATGTAACATAGCTACAACTTCTCATTTCCAGGCAGCAGAACAGTAAGAAATCAGAACTCGTTGAGATTAGAAATCAAGCAGAATTCCGAATTAAATAAAGCAATGACAGTAATAGCTCATTTTAATGGTTTCACTCAATCTTGCTGATGTCTAATGGATACATAGTATGGACATATAATAGTTCAATCATAAGAACCACATGGATATTCATGCACATTCCCAATCTGTAATTGATTTCTCCTTGTTCCTTAGTCTGTGCCTCCACCTTTTCTTCTCCTTAACTCTCTGGCATTGACTTCCACAAAGACACGCGTAGCAATTTACACAATCGTGTGCAGCAATGCCCCTATACATTGTCACTTCAACTAGGTTTACTTTATTCAATCCAGCAGAATTTCTACATTCTACCACTTAAAAATGCACTGTGCAAATGTCTTTTTACCAATGAAAAATGATCATTTCATGTGTTTGACACTCTGAGATATCAGAAACAAGAAAAATATATATATTTTAGTTTCTAATCAAGCGGCTTCCATAATATCAATTATAAGCTCTTCAATTCAGTAACCTCACAAATAACTAAAACAAACTCAGCAGCATAATTGTAACTTATAATTCATTATCATGCTTTACAAAATTTTCCATGACAGTCCAAAAATAATATTTTGAAATTTTCAGTCAACAGAAGTAAAAATTGAATGCCTTACTTCTTCTCAAAAATCCTCTTATTATCTACATCCTCGTCATCCTCATCAGCTGCACTAAATAGCCTATAAACACGTAAAGCCACTTCACGGAACTCCTCTGACACCACTTCACCGCCCATCAACTCAACCACTGCTCCAATAAATTGTTTGTACGCCTGCCGTACCTCAGCAGAAGCTGCACAGGTTAAACATGAATTACTTAATCGCAAACATTCACAAAACCATAATAAAATACACCAAATTAACACCTTTACCAAATTCCTCGCATAATCTAATCGTAGTAGTGTTGCTCATACAAAATGCATATATAAGAGTTAATTTAAATTGCTTGTAACTGTACGGATTAAACATGAATTATTTCCATATAACCATACGAAATTACACTAATCCAATCCTTTTAGTTACAAAATTCAAATACAAAACGAATTTATTCTTCAAA